CTCTAATAATGGGATGATGTAGAATCTTATCGTAAATCGATGATCAGTATAACAATGCTGCATGTTGAAATTTAGGGCAGTCAAACACATGAACTATCCTGAAGCATACATACCGTAAAATTTTTCTATTTATTTGTTGTCTTTGTCGTTTTTACTGCTCGTGAATGAATGCTTCGTGGATAGAAGTCAGAGATAAACAATTTGAGAATTTTCTCATGTTTGCACTTTCTTATGTCTAAAAATTTTTTGATCAGCGCCGATGAAAACAAAAAAGTCGTGTTCACTCAATTGTATGTTTGGTGTGACCGGGGGAAAGGATATCTAAATTTTATTTGAAACATAAAAAAATTTTCGATTTACCAAGTTGGTTTCGCCCGGATCTGAACCTGCAATCTGCAACCTTCCGCGTGTGAGGCGGACGTGATAACCATTGCACTACAATAATAAACCAACGGTAACTACTTTTCTAAAAATTTATATCCCAACTACCATGGACTGAAAACTATTCCTGAGACTAAAAAAAAAAAAACCACATTTGATCAAAGAAAATTTGTCTTTGGCAGGGCTCGAACCTGCGACCTTCCGCGTGTGAGGCGGACGTGATAACCACTACACTACAAAGACCTTCCTTGCATGTACATTGAAAAATTTACTTATTTATTTCTAATAGAAATGTATACATGAAATTCATATAATTTGAACTGCGGTTTTAGATACGTATGATGCATGATCCTCACAGTAGAGAGCGCTATTTATGCAATAGCGAAAATTAGACGAGAAAAAAATCAGGCCTGTACGGGATTCGAACGACTGACCTCTGCCATTCTAGTGCAGCGCTCTACCAATTGAGCTCACAAGCCAACTGGGAGCAGGCCGTTAAGTTGATTCGTAATAATAAATAATATTTATTTCTATTATCATATCCCCAGGACTTCACGAGGTCTTTTTCTTTTTCGATCCCTGTCAAATGCAATTGTTAAGACAGAACACCTGCTCAAACTGAAGAATCGATGAGGACTTTTATTCCCCAGCTGGCAAAGTTCTTGTCCTTCTATTATGACTCACAACGATAATCTGTCAAGACTCAAGAGTTCATATGCTTTAGAATTTTATCAAAAAGGAATACCTGTTGTAAATATATCGCCCCGATCTACCGCCCCGACTTGGGTGACGTTACTCTCCTAGTTTCCACCGTCTCCATCATTAATTCTCTCTCTCCTTTCTTCTCGTTCGATGTTCCTTGCTATTTATCTAAAGAATCAATTGAACTAAAGCTTTTCTCAATTGACAACTGTTCTTTGTTTCGCACACATGTGCGAAAAGTATTGTTCCGAAACGTTAATCCCGTAGTCCATTAGGCGTCCATTGTCCAGATTCAAATTTTCTTGATTTTCCCCACGCGGCATTTTCCGCGCTTTAATTACTTCCAGCTTTGTTCGTTGCCCTCGAGGCTGTTTTCGAGTCTATTTCGTCCCATTTTCCTTCCAAACGTCACCCTAGGTGCTTCTTCGATTCTAGAAATGCCGAGGAAGCGTAAGCATTCGAGTGAAGAAGAAGAGGAGGAGGAAGAAGAAGTTGAAAATAATCTTCGAACGAAGCGGCGCGCTGCTGTGGAGGCACGTGATCGAGTAGCGGCCAAGGAAGGCGCGAGCGACGATGAAGACGAAGAAGATGACCTGGACGAGGACGACGACGATGATAAGGATGAAGATTACGAAGGGGAAGGAGTAGGAGATGAGGAAGGAGACGAAGAAGGCGATGAAGATGATGAAGAGGAGGACGAAAATGACGGCGCTGTAGGAGCAGAGGGCGAAGATGACGAGGAAGACGATGAAGAAGTCGAAGATGAGGATCAAGAACCGGACACAGTTGAATGTATTCTAGCAGATTTGGAAGAACCAACGTCAGGTATCTTATCTATTTATACAGCCATGTTTGGTCTTAATTTTCGATTTTGTTGTAAAATTTTGCCTCGGCGCTTCGTAAATCTCTATTATCCCTCGTTTCGTGATCGAATCGCGTGTTCAGTCGCGCGCGATGGAACACGACAACTGCATTTTTATCGAAATATTGGGCTCGAGTTTGACGCATTTTCGAGGTAGATGTTTACCACCAGATCAGTCTAAGGAGAAAACAGTTTTGACAAATACATGGTCCAAAAAATAAATTTTCCGTAATTTATTTAGTTCGTGCGGTGAATGCCTTTTGTCTCCTTAGCGTCTTTAGTCAGGTTTACGTGGAGCACGTGGAAAAATTTGTTTAGTCGAGGAGGCTTTCATGTTTTCGCAATGTTTTTGTCATTTTGGCAATTCCTTATCGGTACAGCAGATGCTACTTCCGCTTGGATTCTTTTTGTCAAATTTAGTTTTATAAACAAATAACTAGTTGTTTGATTCTTTAAGTTATTCCATATCAAAGCTTGATATCTTTTACAGAAAAGCGAGAAGTAGTGTTTGCCAACCCAGTCTTATAAGTTCATAATATCATCCTTCACTTGAGCCCCCTGTGTGCATGAAATTAAGGTAGAACTTAATGATAAATACTCTGTTGTATGGCATCCACCAATAGTCACTGAGTACATTGTTGCAACGACGTCACAAGCTTTAATCATATAATTCAAAAGTCTGTGACTTAGTCGCCCAAAGTAGATATCGTCTGTGTTGCCTTTTGAAAATAGTTTTAGCACCGAATGTGTTATTATCGAGATACATAGATCTAAGATCGGGCAAATGAAATTTGTGTGAGAGTTAGACTTTAGAAGGCCTTTATCTATGCTAAAAAGAGAAATAAACTTGTCTATCAAATTTGCACAAAGGAATAACAAGGTGGGCTTTGGCCTGTTTGATGTAAACTCCAGAGACCCAGCAGTGATCTGAAATACCACCTTGTCAACATAAAAAAACCCTCCTGGCCTAATGGCCACTATGGTAATATGGTTCCTGACTGTTATTTCTCTCTTTAACTCACTGATCTTTAAGAGTAGGTAACATCTAAATGCTTCTATAATATCACCCCTAAATCACACATTTTGGTTGGGAGAAAAAAGGAAATGGTCACTAACTAAAGAAGAGCCTTGATTGTTCCACAAATTCTCTATGTCAACTTCTCAGAAAAAGTATCAAATAGCATGGAGAATATGGATACTGACATTATGGCTACAGGGAGTTATTTTTAACCTTAGGTTTTGGTTCTCAAAAAGGATACATCAGGCCTATAAATATTGTTTTTTGGAATTCTACAGATACTCCAGGTTATGTATTAAGGAAAAAAGACAGCCCCAAGAAAATGGAACTCTGTTTTATGGGAGAAATGAGGGAAACATTGGTGGATGCTACTGAAGTTTTTCAAACACATTTTGAGGAGAAGAAACTACCTGTTCTCCAGATTACAAAATTTGACATGATAGGAGACACTAGTGATACCACACAGGTAAGGTGCTGTGTGCATGGGCTTAGAAACATTGTTCATCTAGTGTACACATTCCCAAAATTTTCTTGTCTCATCAAACTAAATTGCTAGTAAAATCAACTATTTGGATTGCCTGATACAATCAAATGATTTTTCAAATTGAAATTTGGGGAAAAAAAGGAAAGGCTAGGTTTCCATAGACAGTGTGAAGAAAGTTTTCAAGTGTGCCCCTCATCAATTAATGAAAAATCTGTTATTCACTTTTGCCTTCAATCAAATTTTTTGCAAGAGGTTTGTATTATGAAAGGGGTAAATTCCTCAGTGTGGGAGTTTAACAAGATGATTTGGTTGTATCATATCAACTTGTAAAGCGCATTAGATCATATGTAATTAATTTTGCAATATAGAAATAATAAAATTATTATTATTATTATTATTATTATTATTATTATATGAATTGATAATGTAAATTGGCTGTCGTAAAGAGTTTCAAAGCTGTTTCAAAGAGTTTCATACCCCATAGGGGTATGTTATGGCCAGGTTTGACATAGGTTTTACTAGGTTCTGGTAACTTTAAAATAAACAGGCATCATAGCTCTTCACATAGTTTTCAGTGTATTCACTCAGTGGAGTATTGTTCTTTATTCACCAGGTTGATGTTTTGGAGATCAAATATGACAAGGCATATGACATCAGAGAATTAGACGATGACAATGATGACATACTTTCACAAAATTTTTATTGTGTTGTCAGAGTAGAGGGAATGGATGGCACTTGGGCTACACAATATTTTCTACCAGAACCCGAGGACTGATTTCAACAGGATTTAGGCATGATTGGGCAAAAGCTTTCAAACCTAGCAAATCTGTAAAAACGAAAAAGAAAACATGTTTGTAGACCACAGAAAATTTGATGATCTTGTTGTTAAAGTGGTACCTTTGTACTAGATTTAAGCACAGTATAAAGTGTGTTGTTAAATTCTCTGTTGTGTTATATTGTAACTAGGTATCTTTGTAAAGGTAGCTGTGTTTATTTTGTCTGTTGTAGTAGGTTTGATGTAGGCCATACTCTGTTGACAGGTTTCGTTCCTTCCAAGGAAGCACAGGGTCACCTCTTAAACACTAACAAAAGTCCAGATTAGGCAGAGCTATAACTTAAAATTGCAAATTAATATAGTTAGTATTTGAAATTTGGAAAGGCAGGTTGATGACCATCTTTTTTTGTGAGATTACTGCATTGAAGCAAGGGTCACAGCTAAAATTGTGCTTGTGGTTTTTTTGTAAGTTTTGTAGTTTAGATATTTGTAAAAAATAAATGAAAGTTAATGGCACTATGATGACATTTGCTTGATTTTCCTCAATGTGTTACCCTAACACATTTGTTGTTTTTCACCATCTCGAGAAGAATGGTTTTAAACACAAGCCATGATGTTCCTAATGGACATTCCTAGACTTGTGCCCATGGCGATACAAAACAGGAGAAGCTTGATAAGCCTTTCTCTCCCAAAATCAAAATGCAAATTCTCTGCACCCTCTTCCATAAAAGGTTAACAATGATTACAGTTCTGAGAATTTAATACTTGAGCATAAGGCATTCATGCTTAGTTGACTCAAAAATGTAAGAGTAAAAGCTAACACACATTCCAACCAACTTTCATCAAGAGAGCAAACAATGGAACCTACATTTGGTTTTTATGTATTTTATTAGACAATTTGATTTGCAGTATTGCTGAGTATTTTTACACAATGTGATGAATCTTGACAAGCCTGTGGGGCAAGGCAAAATACAAACAAGCAGTAAAAATACTACAGATCAAAATGTCTGATAAGTCATTTATTATGCAATTGCATTATTTCCTGTGCATTTCTTATAAGGCAGGTAAGCAAAGCAAATGAAGAAGTGGTTTGTGACAGGTCTCCTCGATTACAGCACAATAAAACTAACTGTCCAAATAACCATACAATATCGCAGGATATCTGTACTCAATTCATGTGTTATTTATTCTCCACTAAGGTCCTATAACAACCCTTTGCAAGGGGATTTGATTGTATTGCAATCCTTCAGCTCTAGCTCCAAGCATCGCTTCTTCTGCTCTGTACAGTATCCAATAAGTAACAAGTGCCATCTCAATTCAACAATTTCCATACTTCTGACTACCCCACATATCAGATATTTACACACAGGAACATATGTTAAGGTCTGTGTTGTTGTTCTCTGTCTGTTAAAGGTACATATCGCACACCCATCAACTTTTGCCGGACTATATTTCCATCTTTGTCCTTGTCAATCTGTTCAAGCCACTGGTCACCATGAATGGGGCCTACAGGTATAAAAAGCCTGCCTCCCTTCTTCAGTTGTTCCAAGAGAGCATCAGGAATGGGGTGTGCTGCAGCACCCACATGTATTGCATCATATGGGGCATCTTAAACAAAAAAACATGTGTCCAGTTAACCCTTGAATCTTAACACCCTGGCATAAGTAGGCACATTCTACACACAGTTTCTTTACATTCTGTATGGTACTGACAAGGATAATTTGTTAAGCAATTGACAGCTTTTGTAGGTAGCAACCATTTCTGTTATTCTTGTGATCTATATACTTAATTCAGAGGGATTCCCTCTTCAAGCTACTGCAGCTGTGAAAATCTCACTACTAAGAAGTGGGTCCTATTTTTGGATCATGGCCACTCCTACTTTATTTGTCTGACCCATGCACAGTTGTCCTTGTTTTTATCACACATTTATGGCTGTTGTCAAATTAACCAAAGTAGTTTATTTGGAGGCAATGGACAAGTTAGGAACTAAATGGATGATTGGAAGAGAAAGATGTATTAAAATTCTTTCTGAATTTAATTCAAGTTAAAAAAAACAACCCACTTCATGAATTAAAAATAGTTTTAAGTTAATTGTTATCAGCTTTTTTCAATTGTAAATGGTTTCAGCTTTAGCTTATTAAGTACCCAGAATATATTGTAATTTATCACTTTAGGGATTTCTTACAACATGGCTGACAGCACTGCTACTGTTTTGCAAACATTTACTGGTAAGTGCTACTTTTGCTACCATTATCTCAGCCTCATTAATGTGGTGTGTTAAAAGAATGTGTGGAATTCTTTAATGTCAGTGTATATAATTGAAAAAAAAAAAGTATACAACCCAGATACAGATTTCAATTACAATATGTGCTTTTGTAGAATATGCTCATTTTTTGGTACAGAGGTGTAAGTTTGTACATTCTTGCAAAAAAATGCAAAGACAAGTACTAACAAAAAAATTATTCTCTGGTGCAAAGTTTCTTAACTAAGATTTTGAAAACTCTGTAAGGACAACCCATTAATCTTAACTAACACTAGAGGTGTGGTTCCTCAGGGCATCTCAGGTTGACATTTGTCCATTGCTGGATTTTTCTTATTGTTGGTGCATGAGAAGGTTTCACACACAGAAATTTGTTACATTTGTTACCATAATTTTAGTCACCTACCATCTGCATATCCCTTTCTTCCATCCCCCGACACAAGAACTATCCTTCCACTATCTAAAAGATCAGAATTTTGTTGTTTTATATTTTTTCTGGATTTCTCCACAAGTTCTGGAATATGGTCAATACCAATCACTTTTCCACTCTCTCCTACCATCTCTGCCATACATGCAGTTAAGTAGCCACTACCTAAAAAAAAAAAAATATTAAATGAACTAGAAAATATTTTTTAACAGATACAGCCAGAAGGCTGTAGGGGATATTTTTTAGAAAAGGCAGGTTGGCATTACAAGTTTCTAATCATTCACCAAGCCACCACTTGTTTGAAATTTATTTCTGCAGCAGGTCTTCCCCTAAAAATGTAAGATGGTTGCTAATAAAAAATTTTTTCCAAAAAAAAAGAAAAACCACTGAGTTCTTAATTACCGGCATAATTCAAATTCAGTTTTCAAGACTCTTTGGAAATAGATTTTAGTGATTGCAGTTTTTTGTCCAAGATTTGCTTTCAAAATTAAGTTCAAATTCTTCTTTAGAGGAGTAGTTTGGTTGTATTAGCTTTTTCTACTTCATAACATTTACCCACATTGTTAGTTTGCATGTGGAAGATTCTTTCATCCTCATCCTAAGAAGCATGTAAAAGATTAGCTGAGCAAGCACTGTGAAAGATAAGGTAAGAAACTGTAGCTAAGAGAAGGGGGGTATAAAAGACTCCCATCCCCCAACCTTTGGTGTGAGAAAAAGAAAAATCTTTCCGAACAAAGCAATCATTAAAGCTCTTTAATTCCAAGAAGACACTGTTGTATGACCCCCTGTTGTAAGATTCTAACTGTACTAGATATAATTTCTAGATTATACCTGAACCCACATCCAAAGCTTTAGCTCCATCATACAAATGGTCCTTGAGCATCTCTAGAGCGTGTGCGTGCATATGAGGAGCACTAATTGTCACGCCATATCCAATCGCCTGAGGAGAGTCCATATACGGTGAGATACTGCAGTAGTTTCCTCGATCTACTCTTCTCATAGCCTCTTCCACGCGTTGAGATTTGACGATTTTGTTTCGCTTAAGCTGAGAAACAAGATCACTGTTGTCCTTTCCATGCGACCGCCACTCCATGCCACTTGAATGTACTGGTTCTTGTGTACGTTCCGGATTCTGTTTTTCCGCCAAGTCTTCACCTTCTAGACAGCTTCTTCCCTCACAGAAGCCGGTTTCTATCTGCTGGGCAGTTACATAAGCCGAACCACAGCATAGCATGAGCATTACACACCTCAAAGAGTAGCAGCTCATTACGATTCATAACACAAAACGACGATGTGGAGACTGGGACTGAACACTACAAAATATTTCCCAGCAGGCAGCAGTTTGTTGTGGGCAACAAGACGGACAATATGGCGATGAAATTATTAATAGAGACAGTAAAGGCAAAATTCCCCAGAGTGCCAATTATCTCGACTGAAGAGTTTTGGCAGCTTATGAAAAAAGGCAGTCCAAGTCAGAAGTTAGTCTTGTTGGTAAGTATTTTCCCAAACATTACTCCGATTTTGCATTTATTGGCTCGAACGTGTCAAGGATAATGCTTGTGTTAAAAGTTATCCTAAATCTTTCAATTACACGAAACATGCACAAGGTATGTAACTTTTATTGAATTTATTTCATTTAAGGTACATATTGCTTAGCAGGGAGAAACGGTGGCCTATTGGTTAGATGGCTGGACTCCTGCTTTTCTTGTGCGGGCAAGTGGGCAATCCTGAGCGGGCAAGATGGGCGGATCTTGCCCGCTTGGGTAGCCAATAAGAACACAGGATTTGCTTCATATTGTCCACAGTGCTGCCAGCTATATAAGAAATATATGTTATTAACCAAGCGTGGGGTCAAGATGGCTGGATATCGGTGGAGTTCTTTTTTTGCATTCTCATGGAGCTGCCAAGACAAAGTTGAGGTCGATAAAAATTCGAAAAAAGAACGAGGTTAATATCCAGCCATCTTGACTGAACAAGCTTGGTTAATAAAGGATTTATTATATTGCAAAATATTTTGCTGTATCCAGAATTAAGAATAACTTTTTTAGTCCGAGAGCCGGGAAAAAAAGCCAACTGTGTTTGTAACATAACGAACTCATGAGAATTGTTTCTGTTTTCTTTGTTTTGACTATCTTCTGCTGCATTTTGCGTTTCCATTGCCAACATTGTCCAAGAATTACAAATGTAGTTGTAATTCAATTTTTTCATGTGTGGGATCAATACGGGTAATCCCGAGCAGGCGAGATAGGCCCATCTTGCCTGCTTAGATAGCCAATCAGAACACATGATTCACTTCATCTTGCCCACAGGTGCTGTGAGCTATGTAATAAATATGCGCTACTGACTGAACAAGGTTGGTCAATGAAGGATCTATTCAATTGCAAAAAGATTTTGCTTTTATTATAATCAAGAATGACTGGCTTATTTCAAGAGCTGGCAGCCATGTTTGTAGCACAATGGACCAACAAGCATCATCTGTGTCTCTCTGTTTTGGCTGTCTTCTGTGACCTTTTGCGACTTCATCCCTGATATTGTCGAAAAGTTATGAACTTTGTAAGTCTGGCCCATGCATTTTTTTTCTTGCATGGGATCAAAGCAGACAATCCCAAGTGGGTAAGCCTTGCCCACTTGGGTAGTCAATCAGAACACAGGATTTGCTTCATATTGCCCAAGGGCACTACTAGCTGTATACTAAATTAATGTGATACGATGAATATATGAAGTTCATATATTTTGAACTGCGGTTGTAGATATGTATGATGCATGATCCTCGCAGTAGATAGCGCTATTTATGCAATAGCGAAAATCAGACCTGAAAAAAATCAGGCCTGTACAGAATTTGAACCACTGACCTCTGCGATACTAGTGCAGTGCTCTACCAATTGAGCTAACAAGCCAACTGGGAGCAGGCCATTAAGTTGATTCTTAATAAACCAGTGATGATAAATCAGATACGATGAATATATGAAGTTCATATATTTTGAACTGCAGTTGTATGATGCATGATCCGCGCAGTAGAGAGCGCTATTTATGCAATAGCGAAAATCAGACCTGAAAAAAATCAGGCCTGTACGGGATTCGAACCACTGACCTCTGCGATACTAGTGCAGCGCTCTACCAATTGAGCTAACAAGCCAACTGGGAAGACCGCAGATTGCCATATGTTGCTTAGAATGATTAGGTAAATTAAAATGTCTAGCGACTGGTTTCGATGTGTCCTTGTCATTCCTTTCCACGTCTCGAAGGTGTTCTCGGAATCGGTCACCTAGTCTTCTGCCTGTTTCGCCGATGTATATCTTTTTGCAATAAGTGCAAGTTATGCAATAGATTACATTGGCGGAGGTGCACGTGAAGTGATCGGTGATCTTAATGGATCGTTTAGGTCCCGATATTTTATCAGTGTTGTGAATGAAAGGACACGTTTTGCATCGTGCACGAGCGCATTTAAAAGTGCCTGGTTGGTCATTAGTCTGAAAAGAACTTCTGACCAAAAAATTGCCTATGTTTTTGTCGCGTTTGAATGAAATGAGCGGAGGCTGCGAAAAGATAGTGCTTGTCTCTGGATCGTTTTGAAGTAATTTAAAGTTTTTAAGAATGATGGATTTAACTGAGTGGTTGTGAGGGTGAAACGTGAGAGTGAATGGAATGCGGTCGGAATCTTCCTTATGCGACGTTTGTAGTGCTGAATGTCGATATATGTTGATATATCCAAATTATTTCGTTACTCCCACCGACGCAGCCCCAAACAGTTTCTTTCGAAACTATCAGCCTTTATAAATGACTATAGTTTATTATTGTAGTGTAAGTGTCAATACATGTCTTACATTTAATTGGTTGGCAAATTGAGCAGGAGCCTCTCTGAGGAAGGTGAGCAAAATCCAGAAATTAGCAGCAACACTATCTAATGCACCAAATATTTTTCCACTTTAGGGAAATCATCGGAAGACAGTGTTCACGTTGTTTGTTACTGTTCTGTGGGTTACAGATCAAGTGCTGTTGCTCAGGAGTTGCTGTCTGAAATAAGAAAGCCTGCTTATGAAGAAATAAAATCGAGGATTAGGATTTACAATTTGGAAGGTTCAATATTTAAATGGGCCAATGAGGGAAAAGACCTTGAAGATAACTGTGGAAGGAAGACGACAGTCGTGCACCCTTACAGTAGTTTGTGGGGAAAGTTACTTAATGCCGAGCTGAGGTGCTCAGAACCATCTGAACCTGACAAGAATCAAGAGGAAGATCAGAAAAATTCATCAAAAGAATCAAGTAAAATGTGAATGGTTGAGAAAAGATTGGTAACAGGCAGGAAGCTCAAATTGAGTTGTTGCCAGAACGGGACAAAAATTTATTGAGTCATGTGTGATATACCGGTACTTTTTGTATTCATGAGCTACTAGGACAAGTGCTGTCTTGAAAAAGCAGCATATAAGGTCACATTATGGATCCTTCACTCCTGGTAGTGACCAAAAGGCAGCATTCTTATATTTCAAATAAAAAGGGGATGAGAAGAAAGTAAACATTAATTTTAAGAGGGTAAGTTTGTAAAAGAAACTGTGGTGCTGTGTCACTGGGAGTAACAAGGTAATTTTAAACGCTTAGACGAAGGGCTAACGCTCGAAACGTCAGCTTTTAAACTCTTTACGGTGGCCTATTTACAAAACCAAAATTATAAATTTTAATATACATGTATTCCGATCGTGCATTTACTATGACATGTGAAACTACTGATTGATGTAAAAGTATTGGTACTAATTACAACGACATTTGATAGGTTCTAAAGGGCTTTCGATAACTTTCTCCAGAAGCAGTTGCCAATGGTGTGTGATGGGCGGTTCACAAACCACGAAAAAAGGGCCGTAAGGCAAACCCAAACACGTGAGCTTGCTCGCATGCTAAATTCGGCAGAGGTGGGAAGTGGTCGCTACCCAAACCTACCCCATTGATTAGTTTCTCTTACTAGGTAAAGCTGTCCTTTCTAGTATCTGACGAGACATATCTGACGAGACATATCTGACGAGACATATCTGAAATTAGTCTTGAGGTTTCCGGAATGGCCCTAAAGTCGCTAAAATCAAGCAAAAGCAACCGAACTCGTACAGAAAACGTCCCCTTTGCGTGTCATCTTTGTTCAGTAAAGTTCTCCTTCCAAATGAGATGTCAAACGGAAGTGTACTCGTTGGCGTCCGAAATCAGACCAAAATCTCGTAAGTAGTCCGGGTTTACCTTGGTCTTGTTTTACCTCACTCTGTGATTGACATTTCTCAACCAATGACATTCGAAACTAGAACCAATCGTGGCTGGACATCCGCGTTCAAGTTGAAGTGATTCGTAAACCAATTTGTGTTAAGAGATTTAATTTCTGAGTTCTTAGCCCTCTCTGTAAAGGTTGTTGAGGAGATAACACTTAAAAGAAATAAACTCATATCAAATCAAATAGACACAAAGAGCCATGGTGGTTTTAATGAGTCCATTTAATAGTGGGAAATTAGGCACCTTTTCTGTAAACCTATCACTTTTTTCTCCATGTACCAGTATGGAACGACTGAGCATTAGTCTAAAAAACCTTTTCTCAAGTTCTTGGATGATTGGAAAGGTTAATTTCAAAAATTCTGAATCCCTAAGAAACACAAAATAGGACAAACAAAAAAAAAAAAGGAGCACATACCAGTAATTACTCATGTTTAGTATAAACTAAACCAGTGGATAGGGGTGAAGGCTAACTCTGATTGGCTACTCAGACTGTGAATATTCTTTGCTATTCAACTGCAACTTACAAGTTTTGTGCTCCCTGTGTTAAAATCATCTTTTTGTGCTATATTATCTCACTGTTTCAGTCTATACTAACTCAATTATTCACCTCGATGTTAGTGGCTTGTGGTGGACATTTACCTGGCCACTTCACAGCTTGGTAAATATTCATCACTGGCCACCTCCACTTTGGTGAATGGTTGTTAAATATGTTACTACTCAAATTTTATTTCCCTTAGATTCAACTTATCATTACACTTAACCATACCCAAAAAGAAAGTAATGTGCAACTTTAAGAACCTAGACACTTGAACTACGACAACTGCGTTGTTTCATTGTAAGAGCAGCATGTGACATTGTCAGACATGATATGTTTGTGCTTGGTTAAATAGGTCAGTTATTATAAATAACAAGTACCAAACTGCTTGTGAATATTACTTACGACACCAATAGGTTACCTTTACCAACAATTTTTCAAAATATTTTAAAATTGCTTTTGATTTACAAAACTGTCTCTTAATATTCCAAATAGATGATTACAAATACCTGTTTTTCAAACATACCCAAGAAGAAATGGGTTAGCTTTAATTACATAATCATGATAAAAACATAATTATCAGTTTTAAATTAAATATCCAGTCATGACCATGCCACTTCAATACCAAAGATACTACCCTATTTTTTTTAGGGATGTATGTCTGACTCTAGCCGGCGCTCTACTGGAATAGTTCTCATAAGAAATGCACAAGTTGATGAGTTCACGTCATTTTGTGAAGAGATCACTGTTCTCTCATTTTGACTTGGTTGTCTGGCTGCACCACATGTGTATTTGCTGTCTTTATCTTATGGCATGAAAAATAAAGTTTGTTTGATATAATTCTACATACAATATAATTTTATTATCCTAGCATCAGTGATGGTAAATTAACTCTTGAGTGAGTGACTTGGAATGTTTCCCATCTCCTTTTGTTTTTCAACAAAAAGTTAATTCACTTTAAAAGCTAAAGTTGGCATAATTATGCAAACTATGAAATTCATTGCTACTTGGCAGGTCACAGGTATCCCAATTTGACAGTGTGTATGTCAATTTTTTTCAGCATCTCTCCTCTCTAAAATTTTTCTCAAGAAGTATGCATGCCACCTGGTGTCTTCAGTCAGTTCTGGATGAAAAGCAGTAGCAATCAGGTTTTCTTGAGCCACACCCACCACAACAGGCTCTTCTTTCTGTTGTAGTGTGATAGTGGCCAAAATTTCAACTTTAGGACTGTTTACAGACACAACTGCTGGAGCTCGAATGAAAACACCATGGTAGCCATCATTTATGCTGTTACCACTGAATCCATGCGAGGTATTACCATGATCCTCCAAGAGAAACTTATTGTGAAGGTTCACATTTGCTTCAAAACTGTTGACTTGACGACCAAAAAAGTTCCTGGAGGTTGTGACATCAATACCACCAATCTGATGACAAAGATTATATTGAAGAGTGACTATTATGACTCAAATTTTTCTAGCATGGATATTTTTCATGTGTGAACCTAGTTAAAGCCGTGGTTAAGCATTTGAGTAAAATCTGAAGATCTCACTCTGGGGTTTGATTCTTTGTGGGTGACTCAGATTTCCTTTTGATCAATAGGACAGGTAGAAGACTTTAATTATTCTATTGGGACGCCTTCCTTTTTACAACTGCTTTACAGTTTCAACTTGTATTAACTTTCAGATTTCCACTACAAGTTTCCATCTCTTCCATGGATTCCCTATCAAGCCTAATGATCAAGCCCCTTTAGGAACTCAGCAGACCAATCCTGGTCATATGCTCAAGGAGTGTGGGAGAGGAGAGAATATAGAAGGCCTGGATTCACGGTTGCCTTCATGCCGAGGACACAGTACATAGACATAGCTGATTACCAATGGGGAAGGGGAGAATGGGGAGGGGGATACAGAGAAGGGGGGGAGGGAAAGAGGGGGAAGGGACTAAGCAAAGAATGGAGGAAATATAGATGCCTTCATGAGGGAGTCAAGTGCTGGGCCCTGGGTACTTACCAGTAAAATCTAGGTACACTCTATGAGAAATTATACTTTGTCTCAAAATACTAACCATGTGATACTCCCCTCCGCACCCTTTGTTCTGCAAGTCAATAATTTACCTTGGATTGCCCCCCTTCTTTTTGACCTTCTATGTCATTCGAAAGTAAAATCAGTCCAGCGCAAGTTCCCCATACCACTCTTTGCTTCTCTTTAGCAGCAACCCATTCTTTAAGCACTTCTTCAAAGTTACTCGCTTGAAGGAACAAACTCATTGTCGTGCTCTCCCCCCCAGGTAGGATCAGTCCATCCAGCCCCACCAGTTGATCAGGTTCCCTTACGTCCACAACATCAATCTCAGCTTCCTTGCTGAGAGTTAAATTATTCGCTGCTTTGAGAAGGGCGGCTCTATGCTCAAAGAATGCTCCCTGGATTGCTAAAACACCAATCCTGACCTTAAGGCAAGTTTCAGTCATATTGCCTCCAAAGCTCTCGTATAATCGTTGCGCTGCGCTGAAATCATTGCGTAAGACAAGAGTTTGGCATATGGGTGGGAGGGGTAGATGCTTCTAGGTGAAATGTATGTATGTATGTAGAAGATTGTTCAATGCGAGTGTTTTGATCGTATTCTCGCAGTGGCTTTTTTAGCTATCTACAAATTTTTTAAATTATATCCCTAAGAAAGAGCTTCAAATTTGGAGTGACAACATTATTTTCTCCTCCCCTCCCCTCCTGGAGTAGTAGTGGTGATCGAGCCTGCGTTATACACGTGTTGTACAAAAACCATAGTACACGTGTTGTGAAAAAAACCATTGCAATTGTTGCGTCATCTTGCACAACGAAGGTTTTCTGGAGGAGAGAAAACATCCTGAATCAGTAATGGCAGTCCCGAGGGTTAACGGTGTATCACACGGTTAGTTATTATTTCCCTTTGTACCCCATTTACTCAAAGCATGCCTGCTCCAAATAATATTTTAATGTCAAAAACAGAAGATTAGGATCAGTTTATACACTTGTACTTGAGCTTTTGAATTGCAGCCTCTAAGTTGAAAATATTTACGACAACGTGAGTATCACTGGTGGTGTTCCTCAGCTTCACTTTTTCTTAGTATGCATTGTGTTTTGTGTTAGACATGTTAGGTCGTTCGACTCCACGGTATGCTCCACGGTTGCTCGATGACAAATTCATTCGTTATGTAACACAGGGTTAAAACTATGGTTACATTTGACTAGATGTAGTCGAGTAGGAGATATCCCATGAAAGGAACTTGGTGTGGTTTTATCAAGGGTTTTCGTTAATATTACTAAGTTGATTTGGAAAGAGTACCATACAACCCCATACATTATTTACCCCACGACAAATACTTCTCGGTTTGGGATGGGCCAGTTATAACTCAAATTCAACCTGTTGCAAGTTAAAGGGAGTAAGAAAGTTCACTGACTTCCTTTTTCAAGTAGAGAAAGGAATTCTACAGTTGTTAACGTTCACAAGTGTCTGAAATTATAGATTAAAAGTTTACATTTCAGTTAAAAGGGTTAATATTTTGGATTGCCAGTTTCTATTATTTTATTATGGCATGCACATAACTTCTAGAATATGTACAGGGTTTGTAATAATTCATCATGTGCTGAAGGTGCCTTACTTTTCCATCCTGAAGAATCAAATAGTTGGACATCTATGTTGAAAACAAATGTAGAGTTGGTTTTAGAGAAGTTTCATTGTATCCATTGGTTTCCCTTACTGTGTTTCTTTTAGATTTACAAGTGGAAGTGAGCAACTTGACTTTAAATGGCATATCAGGGGAGAAGACTACTAAGGATATTGCAGTTTTGCAACAGAAGACGGGTAAGTATTTAAAATGTTTGTTTTTATTCTTACGTCAACTTGGGCAAAAAGTGTCCAGTAGTGATTTTAATCTGGGAAAAGCCAGTTTTTTCCATAGGTCATTAATAATAGAGTGGAACCCCCCCCCCTCCCCCTTGCGGCTACCTTGATAATATGGTCACCTTGTTATTGTGGCCTTTTTTTATGGTCCAGCAAAAGAGCCATGCATTTTCTCTCAAAGAGCTCTTGGCTATTGGTGACAGTATTGATAGGGTTCCACAGTAAAGTGTATGTGCTTTTATTCTTCAACTGTGCTTCTTAGAGTACAAATAATGTGTGGAACTAGTACAAATATCATGCAATATTTGTACTCCAGAAATATCGGTGAAATTCACCTGCACTGAAATAACAATTTGGCATGTTGGATAAAAATCTCTTATGAGACGTTTTGTTGTGTAGTATTGCTGAGAATTTTAACTTGTCATTTGCATTTACAGCACAACTCATACAAATACTAAGCAATACTGCAAAACAAAGTGTCTAATAAGACTTGTATACTTCATTGTAAAAATTCAAGAAACGACAACAAAAACAATAACAATTTATTAGTTACATTAGTTTACATGATACGAAAAAGATATGTAGCATGAAAAATGAAGAGAGTACAGGCTGCCCATGATAACCATTAAGGGCTAAGAGGATCATAAGGGCAGCCTTACTGAGGTTATTGAGAAATGATTGTATTAAAGGATCAGGCATCATACAGGCACATACACGACACATACATGACACAAAACGCAAAAAGAAAAAAGCTATCAGAACAAAGAAAGCAACATTAAACATTCTTACATAGTAGTCAGTAGAAATACAAATTCTTAACATTGGCCATTTTCACACTAGAGGATGGACAAATCGTCTGGACAGACAAATCGTCTGGCATTTGTTCGTCGAATTTGAATTCGAGAAGGTCATATGCCGAAAAGTTGTCCGTCTTATGAGCGCAAAGAGAACTGACACTAGCTCGTGTTGTAAAGCAAAATGGCTGCCGCCATGTTGAAACTTCCTATAAAACCTCGCTCTGTTGCTAGTCCCATTTCCTCGCAGCAAGGAAATCGAACATTTCACTGTCTGATATGAATTTAAGTCATACTGTTGTCGACTTGTTCCTCTCGACGGACAAATCATCAAAAAACCGTCTTTCTAGACAGCCAAATATCAGACGATTTGTTCGGCCATTATTTCAAGGTCAGGCATGTAAGAGAAGAAGTTCAGTGTTGTCTTCAGGTGATAACTGTTTGAATTCATGGCCTATAGTACCTCTCGAATTGTTTCGAATTCTTAAAGATTCAGTGGTAAAATGAAATAAACCACAGTTACTATTGTGTAGTTTAAATTAATTTTTTTCAGGGTTAGCGAAAGCAATGATTACCAGGTGAGGATTATATAATAGTATCTGATCTAGGTGATATTTATTTTTTGGAAAACTTTAGGAACATTTAAGGTCAAAGCGGGATTGGCACAGATGGCTAAAGGAGGTATCATAATGGATGTTACTACAGCAGAGGAAGCCAGAGTAGCTGAGAATGCTGGGGTAGGGTTTGAAATTATTTCCTTACTTTTATTTGTTTTTGTGAGTTGTCTGTTAAAATTGAAGTTTGAAAAATTTTATAAATGCTGGAAATTGAATTTCTGATCTGGGTATTAGTCTGATTTCATATGGGCTGTTTTGGCCCATGAGAATTGTAAACAAATAAATAAATGCTGTGTTGTGGTTTCATATGTGTAGATACAGGTCACAATTAACTGCATGGAGACTACAGTGACGTTCTTAAAATGTCATGTAATCTTTTTGTTCTCTGTATGGAAGACTCGGATCTCCCCCTCATTATTTAATATGTGCTGTTTTGTTTCGGTTTTTATTAAATAAAACCCATAAAGCTGATAAGTTTTGTGTAGAAAAGTCATCTGTACATCAATTGAGAGATGGTATCAAGAAAAGGTGCCAGTATTTCAGTTATGGTTAATGGTTAAATATGGTTAATGATAATCTAAACTTCTTGTTTAATCCATTGACACCTGACACCTCGGGTGTGACAATGCTAATCATCCTTAGGGATTTCCCCACTTGTGATTGCGTTACAAGAGCTCTAAATTAAACATGTGTGCAGAAGAGATCAATGGGAGATCAGATTTTGAAGTTGTGGCCAACGAAAAGGGAAATAATTTATTGTCAGGAATATACCAAAATATTCAGGAAAAGAGCTACTAAAGTGCCCTTTAATTTCACTGAGAAAATAAATTTTCAAACTATCCCTTTGCCGCACGACAATTTTTGAAAATGAGATTTTTTAATTCATTGCAAAAGCAAGATGTTGTCAAAAGATAAGAGGTCGAGAATGTGTAGTTCGGTCAGATTTAATCATTTTTATTATAACTCTTTGATAACCATTCCAGTTTTCTTCAGGTTAAAACATCTGAAAGCTGTTAAAGGCAGGAGAAGCGAAAAATACACCTGTGCAAAATACAAAATTGTAAATGGCAAAGAAAACCCAGTGGGGCGCACTAACACTTACTGAAAAAGAAAAACAAAACATCAGGCAACAGCGATTGGGTTTCCAGTCAAGATTTATTGAATTAAAATTCAACAGCCAAACTTTGTAAAACATCTGCCAATGGAGACCAAACCAATTGAATAGCCAAAACAGAAAAAAAAAATCCAAACTCGCAGCAACGCGAAAATTTAGCGAAAATTTAAAGTACGCTTGACAATAAACATGAAAGCCATAAAAAGATCAAGGCAAAATCGGAACCAATCAAACGGCCAATCGAGGATAAAAAAGGCCAAAACAAGAACCAAGTACTTAATTATACTTATCCTCTCGTGGTTGTTTGTTTTCTCTTTTTGTCGGGCATTAATCCGGTGGAAAATGACTTGGGACATGAAGGAAGGTTCAAGCACTATTCAACTATGGAAATCGTGAAAGCAAGTCTTACAAAGAGCTACGCTGCATTGTAAGCACTGAAGAGTGGTCTCTACTGATCGACCTGACACTCTCAATACCATATAATTTGGATATATCAACAAAGTTGAAATGGTAAATCGGCCACCATAACGATTACAAAAGCTGACGTTTTGAGCGTTAGCCCTTCGTTGGAGCTTCGATAAAGGGCTAACGCTCGAAATGTCAGCTTTTGTAATCGTTACGGTGGCCAATTTACCATGTCAACTTTGTTGATATATCCAAATTATTTCGTTACTCCCACCGATGCAGCCCCAAACAGTTTCTTTCAAAACTATCAGCCTTTACTCTTAATACCATCTTGCTGCAATGAATGCAAACCTTCTGCCTACTTTCAATCTTAACTATGAAATGAGATCCTACATTTCCTAGCTCTCCAGAAAAATTCTCAATCTTACAGCACTTAACTGAATTACCTACGGAAACTGTAGTTGCTGCATTGTGGAATAGCCTTCCGACTGATATTAGAATATCTAAAATATTAGGTGAGTTTACGACAAAGCTAAGTAACTTCAGGTTTGAGTGAACTAATGACATGGCGTGCCTGAAAAGCAGTACTTTTATTTTCATTTATTTTCATTTATTTTCATTTATTTTCATTCTAATAAGAAGTTAGTTCAGTTCATTTAGATTAGGCTTTTAATCTTTGTATGTATTTTATAATGATTGTGTAGTTTTAAGTTTTACATTTGTCGGTATATTGCATGTATACGACTGAGTGGAATTTACCGTGTATAAATAAAGTGATCTATCTAAATAAAGTGATCTAAGAAACCCCCCCCCGATCAACTGCTTAGCAAGATTCATCCTAAAATTAACCTTTTTAACTTTACCCTCCCCATGTTCTTGCCTATAATGGTTGTATAGAATGAAAGAATTGCAAATTTAAATATCAAATAAAAACCAAAGTAAATACCTATACCACTTGTAAGAAGAATGACCTATCAAGTAATAGTTATGCAACTGATATGCAAGATCTACGTATTCCATATGCTTATTGTAAAGATCAACTACAACGGGCTTAGAAACCTGCTGATTACACCTATTTACCACTAAATCTACGGCTAGGGGACTAAGGTTAGAAGAAATTATGCCAATGTCTCTCTTATCATGCCACTTGGTGAAAACTACATTACCCTTTTGGCAAACCAATTTCTGCCCAGGACGCAACTTTTCTTTGGCACAGGGAGGCAAGTCCTTGTGCCACTGCAAGATCCAAGATCTTGCAGTGGCACAAGCATAAGTATCATTGCTTGCTAAATGTTCTAATAACTGAGGTGAAAAAGTTGCCAAAAAAACCTGGTGGTTCTTATTCATGTAAGGCCTAATCAAACTAGTCACCACGTAGTACCCTAAGCTGTAAATTCTTGGCCGCTGGTTTGGTTCTTTACCTAAGTAAAAATCAAAATTTAGTACGTAGCCATTACTAGAATCGGCAGCCATCCAAACTTTAATACCATACTTGGTGGGCTTAGCTGGTATATATTGCCTAAAAGATAACCTCCCCGGAACCCAATCATACCCTCATCTATGGAAATATTCTTAGTGGGCAGAAAATTCACCCCACATTTATTGCGAACATACCGGTAATCAAAAACGGGTCGAACTTTGAAAAGGCGATCATAATCTGTCACCCCTAGCGGGCTCCTTGCTTGAATTGTTAAAATGTAAATAGCAACTTAATTCCTCAAACCTATTCTTAGCCATTACCTTCTTAATGCCTGGATTTCCTAGAAATTCATTGGTTGACCAGAAAAAAGCATAATTAGGAAGCTTAACAATACCCATAATTGCAATTATTCTGATGAATGCCTTCATTTCTGCCCGCGTTATGGCACAAAAACTTTCAAATAATTGACCACGTAACTGTAGGTGTGCATGACGATTACTTTCCTCTACCATTTTATCCCATAAATCTTTACCGATGAAAGCTAAAAAAGTGTCTAGTTCATTAGGATTATTTAATACTGCATTGCCTGTAGAGGCCATGAGCTGGGGAACTTGGATATCGTCGAGCTGTTGAGTGCAGCAAGCTTCATCTTCAGCATCTGTGTCGTCATCTTCAGCCTCTAAACCATCTAAATCCAAATCATTACTTAAATTTAACCTATCCTTATCTAGCTCATCGAAGCCATCAAAGCTTCCTTCATCCCTGAGTCTTTGAAAAGTGCCCCGACTCCGGGATCTAATTAAATCTCGTGAGCCATTGTCTACCACACGTGCTTCAATGTGAAAATTTTAAAAATCCTGATCTTGTGGCGCCGCTAATCAGCAGTCAAAATCTGCACAAAGGAGGCTAAATGATTGGATAATTATTCTCCCAAGTCACTATAGCAAAAAAACACAAAGAGCCACTAGGGGAGAGTGGGGTGAGATTGTGATATGATCGCCATTTTTTACAGGCGGTTCAGGGAAAGTTAGGGTTTTTACGCACTGGTGGTTACGGGCAGTTCAGGTGTCAATGGGTTAAGTTGTAAAGTTAAAATTTGAATAGCATTTAAGGCCGGAGGAGTTCTCTTTTATTTACACAGGCATGTGCTGTAATGTCTTTAGAGAGAGTTCCAGCTGATATTCGCAAACAAGGAGGTGTGGCAAGAATGACCGACCCTAAGGTAGTTAAGAACAATTGCATTTTTTTACACTTGTCATCTTACCTTTACTTAAAGACTTGTAAAATCTTAAAAAAATCTTTGTGAACTTTTTCTCCGGGCTTCTCTTTACTTGATCTGTTTTTTTCACTTTTGTATCATTTTATTTTGTTTTAGAGAACAAAAGAAATCATGAGTGCAGTCACAATTCCAGTGATGGCTAAGGCTAGAATTGGCCACTTTGCTGAGGCACAGATTCTGGAAGCAATTGGTGTTGATATGATTGATGAATCAGAAGGTTAGTGGCCTTCTTTACCTAACTTTCTTTATTCTTGAATTTCTACAGGTATCTTCTTCGTAGTCTTCTGGTTACCTGGTAATAATATTTTTTATATTGTGCAAATTAACATTTGGATATGATCAAATGCGCATCACAACACTTTTCGGGGGACTTTGGCCAGACTGCATCAGCAGTTTACAAACAATCGAAGGAAACTTATTTGAAGATGCCCCCCCCCCCCAATTCCCAGTAAATAGGCCAGACCACATCACAGTAATCTTGTAAGTGGGTTCTTCAACATTCCCTGCCTAACCAAAGTGACTAATTAATACAAATGAATAAAGGCTGATGGTTTCTAAAGAAACTGTTTGGGGCTGTGTCGATGGGGGTAACGAAATAATTTGAATATATCAACAAAGTTGAAATGGTAAATTGGCCACCGTTATGATTATAAAAGCTGACGTTTCCAGCGTTAGCCCTTCGTCGGAGCAACAAGGGGCTAATGCTCGAAATGTCAGCTTTTATAATCGTAACGGTGGCCAATTTACCATTTCAACTTTGTTGATATATTCGAATTATGACTAATTAATAGATGCAGGAGATGGGACCTACTGTTTATTTGTCCTTATCCGAGAAGACTAAAATGTCTATCCATTTCTTGATATTATAGAAAGGTAGCATATTCTCCTCAGTTCTTTTAAGACCCTGAGTGTTAGTTTGGCCAGGGCTCAAACCCTCAACCTCCCACAGAACAGTCCGGCGCTCTAACCAATTGAGCTAACAGGGAGGCAGTCCACAGATACAGATGTTTGTGGTGAATATTAAATGTATAATAATCATGACTGATATTATTATTTATCCATTAATATCTATATATTCCAATAGTGTTGACACCTGCTGATGAGTCACAGCATATTGATAAACATAAATTCACTGTGCCCTTTGTGTGTGGTGCAAGAGACTTAGGCGAGGCCCTTCGAAGGATTGCAGAGGGAGCTGCTATGATAAGGACTAAAGGACAAGCAGGGACAGGTGAATTCAATTTTAAATGAAAGTATTTCATCAGTTAAACAAATCAAGATTAGGCTTAGGAGTTATTGAAGGAACAGGGTAACTGTGTTTTGTAACACTGCTGAGTATTAGTTTAGATGGTTTGGACGTGACGTAACGAAACTTCCGGTCACCATATTGGTGGACCACTTTTAGCACGAAATTTCAAAATGGAGGCCTGCCCTAGAGAGGGTGATGTGCAGTTAAGCGAGGATATATTTTTCCGGGATAACATCACCTGTAATACCCGTATCAGATTATGCAAAGAGGTTAGAGAATAAGGTCAAACTACGTTATCTTGAGAAAATGTCAGCAATTGGAATTGACCCAGTCTTGATGGAGGGCAAGAACTTCGAGCCTGATTGTTTACCTCCAGTGGAATTGACGAACCTGCTGTTTTACCTTGTGCTGGAGACTAGCTTTAACAGTAAACAACAATTTAAAGCCTTTTGAAGCCTTCAAGCATATAATCAAATGGTAACGGGGTTCATTTCAAGTGTACAGGGCCATATCATCAACAATGAATATATCGTTTTAGTGAATGTAAGGCATTTGCAAAGAATGAATGAAGCCTTGATTTGTATCTGGATCATCACCGAAAAGTCGGGAACGATTTTGTCTGCCTACATGCTGTGGGTGTTAGGCCGGTCTCGGAGAGTCGTGCTCGCAGGTTGCCTGTGTTCTATACTATCTTCAGGCATGGACAAAACTGAACGGAAATTGTCGTGCTCACAAGTTAAGTGTTTATGCATTCTTCCCTTGTATGTAAAGTAAGTCGAGCATGCAAGTGTTTGTGACATAAACTTTACCTCTGCGAAGAAAATGAAAGCAGATCTAGATGCACTCTTAGACAGCCTGTCAGAGATGGCTGAAGATCTCAACACAGTTGACACAGAGATGCTAAGTCCATACGCCAGATCTTCAAACGGCATATTTAGTTAGAGCTTTGTCAATGTGATAATAAGCTCTTGAAAAGGAGACAAAAGTTGGGACTTACGAGTGACAAAGGGAGGAATACAATGAAAAACAATGTTAAGGATATCGAACGAAGGTAATCCAGTGTAACATTTTACTCTCTTGACATCACATTTTTGAAATTTATCCTCACTAAAGGGCCGCTGCGTGTGCGATGGGTCTGAAGCAACAAGATAGTCAAACTCTTCTGTTTGATTGCTGGAATCCACACACTTTGGAGGTTCTGTGACAAAACAGACATCAAAAACTTGCTCACCCTCTTCATTCAACTTCAGTTTCTTCGCTGCGGCTTCCTCTACTAGTACTTGTTCTCTCTTGAGTTGCTCCATCTGTTTCCTTTCTTTCTCGTTAGCTTTGCGGTCCCTTTCGGACGCTTGCTCGAGATTTGTTGTAAGTTCTCATTATGACCCAGCTTTAATGTTGGAACTCAGTCTACGTTGTATTTGTGCCAACTAGCCACTGCTTTTCCTGAGACAAAATGACGGCCACATACTCGATCGTTCTCAAGAATCTTTTCTGTTACATCTGCTTGACTTATCGCAGAAATCCAGCATGAATGCCTTTTGCAAGACAAGTTCTCCGCCTCTTCTCCTTGATTTCTTACAATGGATGGTACTCAAGAAAAAGTAAGACCAATACCCGGACTGCATTTGCTTCCACAACCAACTGTCAAGCAGAAAACCGTTCTTCCTGAAGAGGCATGACTCGATTTGTTTACAATTTTGGTCCACCAATATGGCGGTATAGCAACCGTTGAAAATGTTATATAGAAATCTCAGAGTATTGATTATGAGTATGTAATTTTGTTACGTCAGTGGAAGTTTGTCAAATTGCATTCAAGTTCGTAAGATGCTTTGACTTTAAAAGAGTCACAGTAGAAAGAAATTTTAATGAGTAATCAAGTGCTGAATTGAAGCAGACAGAGTAATGGCCAATACTTGTCTCAATATTCTTTAATTGTAGGTGATGTTGCTGAAGCTGTTCGTCATGCAAGAACCATTCGCAATCAGATTCGTCATGCTCAAGCCCTGGACTCAGCAGAGTTGTTTTCCTATGCAAAAGAGCTCAGAGTTCCTTTTGAACTTCTTCAAAAGACTGCAGAAATGGGACGTCTTCCAGTGGTTAACTTTGCTGCAGGTGGTCTTGGTGAGTATCGGTTTGTCTCGCTCTAGATTTTCAGTACAACTATTTTGACAGTACTGTGGTTAACCTGTTATTATTCTTTACAGCCACTCCTGCTGATGTAGCTTTACTGATGCAGCTTGGGGTGGATGGTGTCTTTGTTGGCTCTGGAATTTTTAAGAGTGACAACCCCAAGAAAAGGGCATGGGCAATGGCCCAGGCTGTCACTCATTACAGCAATCCCAAAAAGCTTGCTGAACTCAGTGAAGATTTAGGAGAGGCTATGTTTGGAACACCAGTGTCTGCCACTACACACAAGTGATATGTTCCCAGAAATGTTGTGCCCATTTGCCACTTTTCAGCTTGCTTTTTAATATGAGATAGTGTGAATTTTCTTTCTAGTTCCATTGAAGCAAATAACAATGGGAAAAAGGAAGAAAGTGATTTGAGTAATAAATAATTATTTAATAGTAGTATTTAAGTAATGTTTATAAATCTCTCTTGGGTAGTTCTGGGAACATCTAGTTAAGTAGAGGTTCTCTTTTTATGTTTTCTTGTTATGTGAATGTGGTCATTGTTATGGCTGATAAAAATTTATGGCCCATTGATAAAATTATCAGCATCCTCTGAAACTTAATGAGTTCTTTTATACTTCCAAGACAACATCACACAGTATAATGTTAGGTCAAGAGTATTGTCTCAACATATCGCAAGCCTTTTTTCATCCCATTTTATTTTATATTCTTTATTTGAACTTCTTGTTTACTTTTTAAGGGAGTCACTTGGTTAAATTATATTATTATTAAAAGTAAAATTAGTGTCAAAGTGTTTCTGTCCATGCATTTAAGTGGTGTATAGAATGATGATGTTTGGTTTTATCCTATATTATATTCATAACTGCATTATAAGAAATAGACTCAGACTCTGACAGGCTTTAATTTACCTGTATTTATATTATTTTTAGTTATATTATTGATTTGCTGGGTATATACAAGTTAAACCAAATTACTTTTAGTATCAAAAGGCTATTTGTCATATTTTAATGTGCAACTTTCCAAATTGCAAACAGTTAAGTTCTACAATACATATATCTTATTAACCAAGTGGGAGGGCCGTACTGCGAGAATATTGGCCAGAGGTCTTGACAGTATGGACCGAGCGCAGCGAGGTCTGTACAAAAAACACCGAGGGCCAATATTCTTCCAGTACAGTCCCGAGCAAGCTTGGTTAATAAGAGATTTATTATACGACTGAAGTTCAAAGGGACACAAGTGCAGTATCATTCGGGACCATTAGGGACAGTGCCCGGTCCAATACTGAGAGAATATTGACCGGCATTAGAGCATTTTGATTGGTTGATTTTAGTTATTGGCCCTCTGACTGCCCGAGTCGTGTAATAATCTTTTTTTATTATTTTAATGAACTGGAAGTCATACCCATGTCTGTGGTGACTCACATACATTTATTTGCATACACTCTTGTCTAGTTACATATAATCACTTAATGGTTAATTTTGTTCACAGATAATACATGTTCTTCAGAAATCTCATGGTTGGTGGTTGCTACAGCTTATTTGTTTGTTGAACATTAATTATGATCAATATCATCAGCTGCTTGTGATTTACGTGTGATTAAAAGTGCCTTTATTAACCAGATTTTCTGTTGTCAATTGACATGGGGGTGTGAAAGCCATTACTTTGGGCTGTTGTTTTGGTTGTGTCATTGAGTTGATTGTCTAAGAGCCAGAGATTTTTATCGCATCTCTCACAGACCCACCCCTTTTGTGTGGGTTGTCAGTGGAATTTTTTGTTGTAGTCTGATTGGTTATGTGTAACTTTCATTACTTGGGATAAAATGAGCTGGTCATTTTTTCATTACACTCAGCAACTGACATTTACCTCACTAAATAGACTGAGGACTTTATGGAGGAAATAAAGAAGCTCATAACTATTTGGGTGGTAGGTAATTGGCCAACATACTTGGATAAATTTTTGTGATCAATAACTTGAAGGTTGTTGACATAATCCAAGCACAGCTTAAAGGGTATATGTGATATTTAAATAGTAACTTTTAAGGCATTTTATCTGCACGATATATTGGTAACTTGGTAATACTTTACTTATCCATTTGATGATGAAATTGCTTGGATTATTCCCCTGTGCATTACCCCATGATTGAAACTCCAACTCGCAACCAATTTAAAGTAATTTCAAAAACATTAAAACTGGGGCTGGGGAAGTATTAAGTGTCACCAAACTTTTATTGGTATATTGGTGGCAACATTGTAGCCATGTCTTGTATGTACCTGTAAAGGCATATCTATTTTGTGTGTGAATGAATGTCAAATAAGAGAACATAGACTTAATTCCTGCCTTAAGCCTAAAGTTTGTTCTTCATCTATGACAGGATACTGTTAAAAATGGTAGATACACATCTTCCACGAGTATGAATGTGTTTTATGCTTTTTTTCTCTGACCATCTCTGCTTCTGGATATGTGCATACACCAATTCCAAATACAATCTTGAATAGCTTCCAACCAAATACTTAAATGTTTCTATAAGCCCATAATCTCCTTGAATACATGTCCATGCATTAATTAGTACCTTCCACCTGGGCTGGTAATTTAAACAAGTGTGCTCTTCCTCCCTCTCTCACTTAAATTGTTGAGATACAAGAAAATCTATTTCCATTGCTGCATTAATTATAACTAATCAGTACAGGTTAAAAAGTTCTTAGTAAGCAATTCTGCTTGACTAAGCTGCCTCCTTCCTAGAAGTACCCCTCTAAGCTCAAATATTAAATCAGTGCCAATTAAAATTATTCAAGGATTTGTTTAGAGGGAGGGGTAAAAGGGGGAATTTTTTTTTTTAAAGAGTAACATCATTTTGCAATAAGGTTGAGGTCTTTGATAAGTTGTTCTGTGAATGGGATTTACCTTGCACTGTACCATGGCTGCATTTTGTAAACTCCTTTGAAATCCTTGGGAATCACTTCCTTATGGCCAGGGCTGCAAATAACGGCCGGTCAAAATTGGGTACTGACCGGACAAATCCTTGGATTGCTGGACATCTTGTCTGGTCCTTTACTGACTCGTTCAAAGAAATTTTAATTTTTAATTGTTTGATAGTCACAAGGGATAACAGTCATATTTCCGAAAGAAAACAAAAAAAACCATTATAAAAGTAGACAAAATTAATTAGTGGTCGAGAAATTCCCGACAGTTGCAAATTTCCACGATGTCAACAAGTCCTGTGGCCAAAGTGTAATATCTAATTATAAGTGATTTTGCCAGATGTAAAGTAAAACGGACAATTGCGGTTGTATCTTGTGTGACCATTTCACGTACTCAATGTGAGGCTGCTTCTGCAGTAAAGAGTAGTAAAATTATTAACTTGTGATTTTTATTGCCAGACCGACTTGGATTCAATTGTTTTTTAGTTGTAAAAGGATTACTGTGCAATCTGGGTTCACTATCTCAAGAGTTCAGACTGTTAAAATTTGACCGGCCAAAATATGGGTAGTGTCCAAGCAAAAGCATGTTTGACTGGACAACGTGACTGGTGACTTCCCATTAGTTATTTGCAGCCTTGGCTGCTGGTTAATTATTGGGAAGCTACTCCTCGATTGCTTTGGCAGTACTGGCTAATCCCATTGCTTATATGACCACCTTCTGCTGGGAGTGTCTCTTATGGCAAGCCTAACTTCATATTCATGGCATTCTTCATGGCCTTTACCCCAAATAAAGTCAAACGATTCTGCACCAAGATGTTTAATTTGTTCACACACTGCATACAGTTAGTAACAACAACTTTACAACATCTTTTAGGTAATTTTAATTACACAGGGAAGGGTAGTACATACATATATAGGGTTAACTATACAGGGCAGGATTGCATATAGTGTTATGCATTTTAGATATAATAGATTAGTATAGTTTAGGTGTCCTTAATTAGTGGGAAACTGCTATTGATTTGACACATTAATAAAGTTTATTATTACTGTAAAGAACTAATCTTTGCATGGCTATCATTTTCACTGAACACTAGTACAACTATTAAACAGTTAATTGTGCTACTGCAGTTATTCTGTAGAGTATGCTCCATTTTTATCAATTTGATATATTTCAGGGTGTCTGAACCTTGGCTCTTACTAAGCGAGTTTTGTAGAGGTAATATAATGTTGCATGTTATGCTTACTTCCTGGTATCTTAAGTTCATTGAACTTGTTTCTGTAAAACTGGTAAAGTTTTGGTACGGACAACTACAGGCAAGCTAAAAATTGTAGACAAGGCCCAAACAGTGGTGAAGGTTGCAAGTACTTGTTTGTTGATTGAACTTCTTTCATTCTCTTTCCATAATGTGTGGAATTTTCTCATAATAACAAAACATCCAAGAGAACATGAAGCCATCACAAACCAGTCAGTTGAGGATGTTATTTTTTTTAAATACCAAATTAATCTAGAAGAGGTTGAAATTAGTAATCAAAGGGAAGAGTAACAAATCAAACCTTGCCTAATCTGTGTTGCTGCGAGAGCGGCTTTTCTTGTTAAGGAAGTTTGAAAAGTAGACCTTTCTTGTGAGCATAGAAAGTTGGCATGAAATCTGTTTGCTTCCAGCTTCTGAGTAACATTCGCACATGGCTCTGTTCACTCTTGTGAGCATTGTCATTAAGTCCTCCTTGTCAGAGTTCTCACATAAAACCTGCACCAAGCATGAAATGAACCAAGAGCCCAAACTTGCTTTATGTGCCTCGGCATATTTTCTGTCAACTGTGAAGCGTCTGTGAGAGAGTGATCCTTTAGTGGTAGAGTAGGCGATCAAAAAATCTGCATCGGAAGGAAGTTTTACTGGCATCTCACTATCAGCTGTATCAGAATAAACATCTTTTGGTCCTCTTGGTACAAAGTATCCTTTGTCCTCAACTTCTCCTCTGCATGCTTGGATGAAGAACAATTTTGGTTTCTTTGCAAGCTGGGGACAAGCATCCATACCTCCTCTGAATTTCTCCATTATTTCCTCCACTGGAATAGCTTTATGATCACTGCATAAAATACCTTCTTCATTGCCATGGCTCATGATAATACATATGAAACCGTCATTTTCAACTGTAATAGAATAAAGAAGGTAATCAACTTTGTAACAGTTGCAATTTTTTAATTAAGTTTTAATACCACTCCATCCTGTATGTGTTTTTGACAATGAATGAAGAAAATTTTCAGAATTACATACTCATCTAAGACAACTCGAGATTTGAGTGAAATCTCTTCTGAATACCATGGAAGTTTGGGAGTTAGAGTACGAAACATGGCAAGTACGTGTGGCGAAGACTTTTTTTTCTAACAACATTTAAGAGTATGTTACTTTGCCACAGAAATCAACTTCCGGTCTAATCGAAACTTGCAATGCAAGAACGTACATGGATGGAACAAAACTAAAGACAGCATGTACAGCTACTTACACAAAGCTTCACTTTTACGAATTTCCTCAAGAAGATTCAGCATCTCGCGTCTGGCCAAGTCAAAATGCCTCAGAACACAACTGAACCCAGCTTCTCTGACAAACCTCTCCACGTTTTCTTGATCGTGTTTAGCCCCATTCCTTGGTCGTGGGTCCCTGTTAAAGTTAACATTGTTTATCACCAGCACATATGGATTCCGTACTCCTTCATACTCTTGATCTTTAGGTAAAGCGCCTTTTGAGAGGCGAACGTTGCTTGGACTTGTACCAAGTATTTGAGATGCATCCGCAAAATCTCGTGGTACAGACGAATCTGATCGCTGATAGATCAACCCTCGAGAATTCGCAGGCGAAGCTGTTAAAAAGATTACAAATGATTATACGTAAAGATTGTGTCATTCTTCTCAACTGTTATTTTTTAACTTCATACATGGAAGTAACATGGAGCTTCTTCAGTCAGACTTGTAACGGAATATGATGTAATATCGATTGATCCCTCATTTCGACTTTTGCACCCTTCGTGGACGGAGGGAAAAGCCTCCAAGAATTTCTAAAGAATGACGCGAACATAATTCCTTTTTTTTTTACTTTACTTAAGAATAAGACACTTACCATGTATCACTTCCGTTTGAGAACTGTTATCATGAAGGAATCCCTCACATCTGTTAAAGACCTCCTTGTCATCTTCTTTCACGCAGTTGCAACCTTTACCACCCAACTCTGGGCAATCACATCGACGACATCGCTCGAGAAGACGTTGAATTCTTTCAATTTGAGAACGTAAATATTTTACGCCTAATTCCTTCGAAAGCAACCTCACCTGAGTGCTCTCCATCACTCTCCTGCTGCCCCGTCGATGATTTTAACTTTCAAAGTAGCCTTGGTTCGCGTTTAAAGGCTTGGGTTCTCAAGTTACGCAAGTCCTTATCGGGGGAAGTAACTCTACCGGAAGTCCAAATGCATTAGGACTCAAACCTACCTGAAACTGTATCATCTAAAACAAATAGTTTAATTCAGGTTAACATCACATGAGTATTATATCTTAACTGAATGCTCTTACCTTCGAGAGGTTCGTCATTTTCTCCGATATTACTCAGTGCAAGCACCTTTCCTGTTTCAGAGCGATTCATTGCGTTTGACTTTCCGAGAAAGTGTTCAGTGCTGAATTGGGTAAACACATGTGTTTCTGATTCAGTGTAACAAGATTTCAGTTTCTAGTGTTAAGTGTTTGACATCTTTTGTTCTTTTGTTCTGTAGTCATGATTTTTCAAATAGTTCACTGATCAGTCGGTTGTAAAAGACTCCTCAGCGGCCTCAGGATAGCGAGTTGACAAAGATCAAAATTACATAATTACCTAAAGGTGTCACTGAATAGACCCTTCCACGGTTTTTACGGCCATTTTGTTTGGGGGTCAAACAAAACCTCGTTTCTTCCCTTCTGAACCTGTCGAGACCATGCTTCAATTAATGATTGCTTGGGCTTGTGGAACGATAACTTCTGTGCATGTGAGTGGATGACCCATTTTTTCGGATTTCCTCTATCGTTGTTACAGCCGCCAACAGAACACCTATCTCCAAAATCCATTAAACCAAGGGTTTCTCTTTGCCGAGTTATTGGTTTTTCAAGAGTATGTTAGCCTATCTGGACGAAAAGGTTTAAAGAGCACGTAAACACATTTATTTCAATTTTTCCTCTGCACAATTAAGTTAATTAAATACAAAAAGTCATTCGGAAAAGCTGTACTCTGACCTTCTGGCATAATGTCGACCGCGAGGTCACGTCCAAAGAAAAACGATCTCAATGTTCCCATAAGTCGCAGAGAAGGAAAGGTTTTTCGTCGAGAGGAGAAAAAGTCACCCGCCTTTATTGATGTCTACTCTTTTTCAGCGATGAATAATAATTTTTGTTCCTGAACAAAGCGAAAATTTAAACGAGGGTAGCGATGCGCGTCTTTTTATCATAAAAGATTCTATGGCTCGTTGCTACGCAACGAGATTTTGTTTGACCCCAACCAATATGGCCGATAAAACCGTGGAAGGGTCTATTTTCCTCGTTTTCTAAAACTGTTTAGAAAGTGCGTCAGTCATTGTCACGCACACAATTTTGGTTCAAAATCAGAACAAAATATTTTTGAAAAATGGATTTTGTTGATATTTCCAAACGTGGATCGCTTTAAACTTGAATAAACAGATTTACAGAGCCTGCTTCTCGAACAACGTCAATACAAATGATCCTGCTGAAGTGTCCTCGACAGTAAACTTATCTTAAAAACTGTACATGTAAAAACAAAATTTACCAATTTGTAATCATGACATTTACTTATGCTTAAATGACAGAATGTCACAACGCCTTGGATCGCTCACGCTGGATAGGAAAGAATTATCTTTGTCGGAGTTAAATATTCCGAGTTTCGTTACATGAACCCGTCCCTCAAAGTATCACTTCCGAAACAAGTAGACTGTTTTCCGGAGACTTGCGTAACAGTTGCTGTTAGCGACAAAGGTGATCGTTTTGGTCACGTGACCAAATTCATGTTAGCGCAAAAGGCAACGCACATGATAACATTCCTTCGTATTTCTTTGCCTGCGCTTTTGCTGTCTGTCGTCGTTTATCCGCTTTCGTTTAGTAATACAACATGATCCAGATGAAAGCGTTCTATAATAGTTCCTTTCAGCTAAAATCGAATCGATTATCACACATCTAAGGCTATCGTCTACGCTTTTACCACAGATATAAGACCTTCCTTGTTTGTTTATGTAAAAGCTCGCCATCGTTTTTTTCAGCGATTTTCAGCGCTTACGTCAGGGATAGATCACGTGGGCTTAATTCAACTCAGTTCTTTATTTCACACTATAAATGACTTTTACAAGGTTTATATTAAAGATAAGAGACAGAGAAAAAAATGAAGGTATTATTTGGCCATAAATATAAGGTTGACATGTGCACGGTGTCCAAGGTAGCAAGAGCTTTCTAGTTGGACACTGTAATGATCATATAAATAGCAGCCTACACTAAGAATAAATCAGCAGTAAACTGAAGTGAAGCAAAATTATCAAGTTTGATTAAGCAAAAGTTGACGTTTTCATTCTCTCTTAAAGATACTGTCGGGAATATATATTTAAGATTGGTGGGTACGGTTTCCCAGATCTTTGAACCAGAGAATTTGAATAATGATTTTCCCGTGTTGGTGGATACTCTTGGTCTAAAAAAATTGAAATTACTAGCAAATCTTGTATTATAATTATGTTTTTCGCATGTTGGGGTCAGGACATCAAGGAAGACATCTGGAACGCTATCAGTTCTATTCTTAATCTTATGTGCAAGGCAGCATATTCTGAATTTATATATCCCATCTAATTTTAAAATTCCCAACAGTTTATGATAAGGACTAACACTCTACCTAGCACGCGCAAAGAAGATGCTTCGGAGACATTTATTCTGCTTAATACAAAGACAATTTAGTTCAGTATTGGTGCCACAGCCCCAGGCAATAATACTATAGCTTAAATAGGGATATATCAAAGCATAGTATATTTGTTTTAGCATATTAAAACCTATGTGATATCTTATAATTTAGTGAGTATTCCAGGAATTTTGTCATTTTGTTGTTTATATGTTGTATCTGTGGCTGACAAATTTAGGTGCTTATCGATATAGACTCCCAGGTATTTTATGTAATTATATAATTATATTATTTAAATAAGTTTCTCTCCAGCGGAAACTGCTTCGCGCGTCTCCAAAAAAACAGTCTACTTGTTTCGGAAGTCAAAAAAGCGCAATGTTTGGATGACAATTCCTACTAAGCGGGAGAGGGTGGGGGTAATTTGTGGTTTGTTTTTCTCCTAAATGTTACCTTTCCCTGCTAACAGTAGAATATAACAATTCTATCAGCCAAAATATGTCATTTACAAGAATGTTTATCGCTACTAAAAGAAACGATTATTAGTCAGATGTCTCTGGTTCGATGGCAAGTTAAAAGTTCTTATCAAAAAAATTTGCGAAGTAGACCTTTCTCGTGAGCATGGTGAGATGGCATGAAATCTGTTTGCTTCCACCATCTGTCTTATATTTGGTCATTTCTTGATTCACTTTAGTCAGCATTGTCATTAAGTCGTCAGTGTGTGAATTTTCATGAAGAACCTTAACCAAGCAGGAGATGAACCAAGAACCCAGTTTTTCCCTGTGTCTTTCTCCGTACACCGTAGAATCTGTGAACCTCCTATGAGAAATACATCCCACGGTGGTCGAGTAGCTGATCAGAAAATCTGCTTCAGAAGGAAGTTTTACAGGCATCTCTTCATACTGGGCGTTATCAGCAACAACATTGTCTGATTCGAGCCCATACCCTTTGTCGTCAAATTTACCCCTGCAGGCTTGAATGAAGAACAGTTTGGGTTTACCGACCAATTGGGGACACGATTTGTTGCCACCACGAAATTTAGCCGTTATTTCCTCCACTGGAATGGTTTCACCGTGCTTGCATAAAATTCCTGTCTCATCGCCATGGCTCATGATAATGCAGATGAAACCATCATGTTTATCTGCAAAATAATGATCAGACAAATAACAAATTTTCAATAGTCGTTTGGTTACATCGATGGATCCTGTTCATGAATCAAAGGGGTGGTATTTAAGAAGAGGTCACCCTCTTTTTAGCGCACAAGTACTAAGAACAAAGTGTCTTTAATACTGAACCCAAACCAGCTATCGCTCACGCAGTGTTCAGAGCAGTTTAAGTGTCGAAAGTAACACAGGATTGCTTTGGTCTAGGAAACTCGCGCCACTCTATCGACCAATCAGATTCAGAACTGAAACCAATCATGACTTGGTTACCGGGCGTTTCTCGCGCTCTTGGCAGTTGGCTTGTATTTTACTCTCTCCTGATTGGCCTTTTTGTTACCTTGATCAGTTTACCTTTAGGATACTCGATGGAAACGCGCTCTAAGAATAGTAATTCATTTTTTGGTCGGTATCTCCATTAGGTAGTCTTCTATGTCCCTTTCGGTCATGCAAAGCGCGATCATTCCCTTGGTTGGAAGACAGAGCATTGCGCAGCAAGACTAAATACATATTACGGATACAAAGAAGAGTTGGTAGACTTGGCATTCGCTGGTAATTAAGCCTGTTTAAGGTCTGTGTAGAACTTACCTAATTCTCTCTTTTTGCGAGTTTCGTCAAGGATGCGCACCATCTCTTGTTTTGTTAGGTCCTTGTGCTGCTTCACAGCTTGGAAACCAGCTTCTTTAGCAAATGTTTCCACTTTTTTGAGATCGAATTCAGCTCCGTTTCTTGGAACTGGGTTTTTGATAAAATTTACGTTGTTTATTACCAACACGTATGGATCCCGTAATCCTTCGTACACGTGATCGTTCTGCTGATTTCTGGCTTTAGCGTCGTTTCGATGTGTATCTGCCATTTGAGGAGTAGCTGTCCATTTGACGGAGTCCGAGGTTTGAATTACATGTACTTGTCTTTGATTGTGTAGCGAACCTTTAGTGAAATATGGAAAATACATATTCAAGATCTACTTCAAGAATCATTCTTTATAAGATTGCGATACGAAATATTTGGCTCACAAAATAATTCTTTGCATAATTTCATGTAGCCTCGAAAACTGAAACCAAAACTTTTTCGATAGAATAAAATCTAATTGTATCCATGGAAGAGGTCATGTGCCTCCATCGAAGCTTCCATTCCTGTTAATCCTCTAACGAAGGATTGACGCTCGATACGTCAACTGAAGTAGAAACTCTCTACGATGGCTATTACCTCCCATCGACGCAGCACCATGATTTCTTTGGAAACTTACTTCCTTCATTCATTTGTTAATAGGGACTTTAAGAAACCCCGACGGTGACGCCAAGGAAGATTTCGATTAAAAAATGAAATTCTACTCTTAGTCAGAATTTCAAAAATGGCTGCAGGAGCTTACTGTCTCATACAGCGCCACAACTCAACTTTAACATGACGTATAAAGTAGCGCTGTTGAGTTCCAAATGGAAATTAAAATAATTTGCCGTCGCGGTTTCGGTTCGCAGACGACGCAAATTTTGGCGATTTAAAGTTGTTGTCAGTGTCTAGGGAAGGCTAAGAAATGTACAAAGTTTCAAAACGCACGTGCTGAGCTATTGTTCTGCCAATAAGATCTCTTGTTTTTCCACGTCCTCGTTGCCGTCGTCGTCGTGGTTTCTTAAGGTCCCTATTACTAACAGCTGAAACGTTAATCGATTATTGTCTGATAGAGATCAAAGGGTAGCCGGTAAGAAACAAAGATGCAACTGAGCATCAGTGCTGAAGTTTAGGTTGGGAGATTCCTGACTAGGTACAATCCTTCGTTTTCGTGTTAACGCGTTGGAGCTCTGGGTTCAAGTCAAAACAAATTTGTCATTAAAAATATTGTGATCATCAGGGCTGGATACATTGCCTAATTCAATGGAGTGGCACGCAATTGGTCATTTTTCATGATCAGATTCCTAAATCCTCTAGGATTCTAATGATGAAAAATCACGGTTGTGAATGGAACGTAAAACGTACCAATCTTTACTTCCTTTTGAAGTCTGCCATCTTCCAAAGTTTCTCCAATGGTGTGTTCCTCTTCAATCCCTCCGATCGCCCACTTAATTAAAAAGTTGCCCATATTTCAGGAGTTGCATTCACCAACGAATACTGATAATCATTAATGAACTCCTGCCGCTTGAGCAAACTAAATACGAATTGTGGCGGAAGTCCAAACTGGAACGCATCTTCCCCTCTGGGCTATTTCTAAGTAATGGGCTCCTGCTGATAACGTAAATGCTTCAGTCAGATCTTAAAATGACGTCACACTTTAAGGCTTTCCTTTAATAACGTGTTCACAGCACATCATACATTTTCAGTTTTAACTTCGATTGAATGTCATCTAGTAAATATTGGCTTTGAATTTTAGTTCCTGAATTTATTTTTAGAAATAGCCACTTATGGTTTTGAATAAGTTCGTCAACTTTAAGGGGCAGGTAGACTTTGAGAAAATGAAAAGTAATCGAATGTGGTTCTAACGACCCAAAAAGGACAATACTCTTTTGTTTTTTACTTTGGAAATACGTGTCATCGTCACGTAGCGGTAATAAACAGGCCTGGGTAACAAATTTTGTTCAAAAGCTATGACAGATGGTACCCTAAATGTGTCGATAAACGTGATTATAAGTTCGCGGTTAGACATCATTTTAAGTACAATAAAGATGTTGCTAAGGTTTTCATCGGCGTGGGTAACTTTAAATAGCTTTGGCTTGCCTCGCCGCTCGGTAATTTTAGAACTTAGCCGAGTCAAAGTGTATTTCAGACCATTCGTAAGCTAGTTTGGCTTCTACTATTTCTCGAATCAGTGATTATTCTTTACATGACACAAACGTTGATCCTTTGGCGTAGGTATAGAGCTAAAATGTACTCATGGATAGATTGGACTATGGAAATGGATTCTACAGGTTTATCAAGAATAAAATGACTCCCTTTCTTCTAAATGGAGAATTTGATTGAGTGGGCGATATGCATCATATTCTAAGAATTCCGGAAGCACAAAAACACAAAACTGACAAATCCACTATGTTTCGAAAACAAAAAAAAGGATCAAACAGCAACTCATGCAATTTGGTTTTATCAACTGAGTGGATAATGTAAATTGGCCACCGTTAGTGTTTCTAAGCTGACGTTTCCAGCGTTAGCCCCTCGTCAGTAACTTATTGTAGTATGCCAGCATTTTGTGTGCCGCGTTCTATAACCGCTGACGGGATGAAAAGCGAAATATTGCAGCCACTCAACTGCCGGAAGTAGGCAGTCTAACTTCACGCTCTATTGTAACTTCCGGCAATTAGCAAAGTACTCACTCGAAATTCAAGACACCAAACGTGACCCTGTCCGTTCAATCAATTTGTTGTTTCAAATCTTGGAGATGTCACAGTGTTTTCAAATCTGTTTTCAAATCTGTTTGTCTATATAATAAAGTACTTTCCAATAACGCAATAACAAGCAAACAAACACACAATAAAGCGACCACCCCTGAGGAAATCATTTAAAGAACGAATTTTGCGCAGCGTGTGGACTTTATGCGCAACACCGTTTTGTTCACGAAACTTTTGTGTAGTATTGGTTTTTCCCGCTCGGCTTTCGTCTTTCAAAAGACTTCAAAAGTAGCGGACACACAAAACTAGTGTGCAATTACACCACAGAATTTGATTGTCCTACAAAGCCTCGATATCCTCGGATGAATGGAATTTTAAGCCATGTGTCATTAACTATTGATGCTAGTTCAGCCGGAGCGATCAGACGCGAAGTGTAAACAAAAGCGGACGGAGATTAGAGATTTGTTATGAATATTTCGTAGACGATGTTGACATCCAGTCACCGAGATAGCGTGCGCGCGCTTTAAATTACACGGGTCTATGTCTGGAACGCCGTTTCTAAACACTGTCGTGAGGGGATCAGTCGGGTTGTTCTAATTCGACGCTATGCATCAACCGAATTACCACGTTGCCGGCGAATAGCAATCAAAGCCAATAGGAACGGACCAATTGGAAAAAAACATTTTCACGTAATTCCTCGCTTATTAAGGACTACAGCTGGGCTAGAAACATGGCGGATTGGAATAGGGATAAAACAGAATCGTTGGATAAATGTATGTTGGCGATGAAGGAGGATTTGGCTCCGTGGATGTCGCGTATATCTGGCTCGGAGATAACGGTAGAGACGCTAATGGAAGATCTCGACACAGGAGTGGTTTTGTGTAGGCTAGCTAACGTGATTCAGTACACAGGAGAAGAATTCCTTTACCGGCACCCGTTTATTCCTCGTAATACCTTTCCCCCTTGCGGAGTAACGTTCAAAGAGAGAACAGGTTTCCACGGCTCATTTATTGCCAGGGATAATGTGGCGAATTTTATTCGCTGGTGTCGAGAGTTGGGAGTATCGGATGTAATAATGTTTGAGACGGAAGACCTTGTTCTTCACAAGAACGAAAAATCTGTTATTTTAACCCTTATGGAAATGGCGCGCTTGAGCGTAAAATTCGGACTTGAACCGCCGGATTTGGTCCGAATGGAAAACGAGATAGATGAAGAAATAAAACAGCAACCAGAGGAGATTACAGCGGAGCCGGTGATTCGGTTACAGAGAAAGAATAAATCGCACAGCCTAGATGATTTGGTGAGTGAAAGGACGTCTATCGATTAGTTCGAAAATAAAATGTCAATAGATTATCTCGCCCGTGTTGGATGATGAAGTGAAACATACACACGACGAAAAAATCGCGCAGTATGAAATGCTATACCCCCATGGTCGAAGATCTATGCAACATTTGCTATACTACCATTATTCAAATTAGGCACGTCTGACAGATTGATTTTTTTTCCTATTTCAAAGAGTTTTCATTATAGTCATATTGTCTTTTGCTTACTCTCCTTGTTTGCATTACAAAACAAGTAACTACACAGCCAGCCCTTAATGTTTCTGATTTTTCCTTTATATAACTGTGTGCCACACCACCTCGAGCTATTACCAAAAAGAAAACCGACGTAAAGAGTAGTCGATGGCTTTCCAAGGTCCTATCCGTAATATTTCAAGAATCCGTAACATTGTTTTATTTTTCTTGTATTAATACGTTTGTAACTACAGTACGAAAGGATCCGAATCATTCATCCGAAAAAAATAAGCTAACAAACTATATTTACCGAAATAGGAAAGTGATAAAGTGAGTTGTGATCGACGAAATGAAAAGGGCACAGGTTTACATCAGATCATATTTAAATACGCTGTAATCTTGTCATAAAAAATTGAATTACTTTGAAGGTCGAATATTAATTTTACCTCAAGAACGTTGCATGTGTTTTTTGTTTCAAACTTTTCTTTCATTTTTACTGGGGAGTTAAGTAACTGCTGAAGTTGTAGTTTTAAGACCATGATCTTTTTCTGTTTAATCCTTGCAAAAAGTAAGATAAGGTCCTTGCGATTTTAACTGCGAAGGTGAAAATCGTAGCTGAACCGTTTTAAGCTTATTATAGAGAACATGCGCAGGTCCTTAATTTATCGTAACACCAGGCAGGGAGTAACACGCTAATTTTAGCGAGACGTGAATGGGCAAAGTTCCTTTATTTATATCATTTTTCTTTAGGGCTAGAAAAATAGGCGGCTATTGAAAAACTCTGAACCGAAAAAATTCATTAGATATTGGACAAATATACCATATTTCAAGCTGTAAATGGGCTTGACCATTCATACACTTTCTATTGAAAATTCAGAGCATATCTTTCATAATGCGTAACATTGTTGATAATTCCAATCTTTTTTTCAAAGAAACTGAAATGCTTTTGAAAGATCACCATTAAGCTATTTTCGAAATTTCTGATGCTTTCAAGTTGGATGAAATGTGGAATTGAATCCGAAAGTTTGTAGGAAACAGTAATGATTTTATTTTGCTGTCATGTTTTTGTATGTAAATTTGCTTCACTGGAAACCGAGTAATAATAGCTCCTTTTGCCTGATCTGAATGCGAAGGAATAACAACATCCTCATAGTTACGGTAAATTGTCTTAAACAGGAGAAGAAAGAAGAGCCCGGGTACAAATTCTGCGTTTAATGTTTTGTTTCTATGGCGTGTTTGCGGGTCCAAACATCCAATGTTTTTACTGACACTTCACATGATAGCTCTAATGTATTAAAACATCCTCGATAATACAACCATACCTACTTCTTTATAATTCTCAGCAATAACTAATCAATGGGCATTGTGTTTTGTATGACGAGTTATTGCTGAAAAACGGTATTGGAACCGATCTTGGTTTTCTGGATTTCACTGAGGAACAAAATTCTTGCTTGACAGACTACAATGGAATAATCCGCTTCCTCAATCAGTGTTGACATTTAAGGTCGTTAAAATCCGTTTTTGCTAATCCATTGATCCCTTTACAGGTTTTTCAACACCAGTTTTAAACGCAAATTGAATTAGTTAGTCTTGGGGTGCGTCTCTATCATTTGAATTCCGCAGATAACTTGACTGAAATTCGATAGGAATCGCTATTAATTATGGAGTGGGAAAATCATTTTCATAATTTTTCCACTCAAAAACATTTTCTTTCGTTGACAAACACGTTCTTAAATTCTAGATGACCAATTTCGCACTCACTTCATTCTTAACACATGCATCCTTTGTTGTTTACACTGGCTATTGCCTTTATCTTTTGCGAATCTTAAGCTTTTTCATATGCGGTTTTAAGGTCCTTTTGACACACATGTGCCGAAAAACGTGTTACTTTGGAACTCTAGCGAGCGAAAATGAAATTTAATCTGTTTAATTTAGCCAGAACTTCCTCCAAATCATTTTTAACCACTGAAACAGAAACATGAGTTGAAAAAATAGTTTATTTCTTGTGGTAAATTTTCATGCCGAATCGTAAATAGCGTTGCTTGGGAACTTCGTTCCTGACTTGGGTAACTTGTAGAATGAGTTGTCCTGCAGGTGTCTGAGTTGATGTCAATTAACAAACTCTTATGAGTGTTTTTTTTTTTTTTTTGCGTGCAGAAAACATCAGGACTATTCCGAAAAAAAATTAAACAATTATAAATGTTTTTAGCAACTAACCAAACAGAATTCATAAAAAAGGAGAAGAACATATTTACGAAAAGTCGCAAAAAAAAATTAAGTCGTTTTAAATCGCTCTCTCTCGTTTTAGGTTACCTATCTAGGAAAGCGGACATTTAAAACTCGCCAGTGTTTTACATGTTTGACATGTTTCATTTTCATAAATTGCTGTTTTTCCAAAGACATATCCTAGTCGAAACAGAAATGAGATGCCTTTCTGTTTTGTAAAGCCTCTTAACTGATAATAACATCTTGAACTTTATTTACTGTGGTAAAGTTCACATTATTTTCACCACATACTGTCAGTCGTGACGAATCCTCATTTTTTTGCGTGAGAATAAAAATTTGCGTCAGAGTAGAGTTTGTACTTCTGTCTATAGAATTTGCACCATCCTGCTGAAAAAAGAAGGGAGACGAAACTTGCTAAATAATCCTGACTTTTTGTGTATTCAAGCTAATTTAACACGTAATTGTCTGTATAACGACGCCGTCGAGTCTCGATCTATTACACACTCAACTACTATCTTTTGATCTATGAGACGAACTAGTAAATGGTTATATATCATCGCAGCTACGATAAGCAAACGCATTTTTTTACATCTAAGCCTAAATGGCGAACGATTTCCTTTTTCTCAACTTTGTTAGTCATGCTAACCTGTGTTAGCTTGCTTTGTTTAATCTTTCAGTAACAGTAAGGTATATTTTGCACACTTGCTAGAAGGGGATAAGAAGCATTAAACTTCACCTGTAAAATCATGTTAGTAGATAAATTGAAACGAGTTGAATCAAGACTTTGCACTTGATATTCCAGAAAAGAAAGAGAGGTTCAAGAGCCTTTGATAAAATGCCAATATTTTGTTCAGCCCTGATCTAAAATCCTTCAGTATAACTTAACGAGAATCGATCAAGCGATCATACTTGTTTATTCTCGCAATATTTATCAGCCATGGATTGATTACCTTTTAATTCAATATCTATTTGCAATTTTAATTTGTTATTTAAATTGTTATATTTAGTCTTGATGGCGTTTTTGTTTTCTGCTTTATAAAAGCATCTCTTGAAGGGAAAATTTGAAGTCTCAATGGCGTTTTTTTTTTCTGCTTTATAAAAGCATCTCCTAGGGCAAATTTGAAGTCTCAGTGGCGTTTTTTTTTCTGCTTTATAAAAGCATCTCGTAGAGCAAATTTGTAGTGTCAATGGCGTTTTTTTTGTCTGCTTTTTAAAAGCGTCTCTTAAAGGGCCGTTGTAGTGTCAATGGCGTTTTTTTTGTCTGCTTTATAAAAGCATCTCTTGAAGGCCAAGTTTGCAGTATTTTTCTGAGGAGATGAGACTGATCCAAACATAGATGCGCAAAGCACAAACATTGTATTTAATTGTCAATTGCACATTTTCACCTATGTTTTCGATTAATTCCCGACAGTGAGAAAAAGTCTCGGTCACGAATGTTGTTGGCGATACATGTTTTATGATATTATATCACTAAATTGCTCTAGTCCCGTCAGTTTAGTTGATAACAAGACCAATGAAAAGTGCCTTTATATGTGCACAAAATTGATGTACTTCGTTTTCGGTCTCTTTTCACTGAACAGGTTTACCAAGTTTTAGAGCAGTGCACATGCCCTGTGCGGTACCCGGTGTTCCGTGTCGGGGAAGGAAAATACAGAGTGGGCGAGGCAAAGTCACTCATATTCGTCAGGGTAAGGAACGACTGGAATATGATCGGCAAACTTTAAAAAAGATTTCGTATATACACATTTAGAGCTGGACTAACCATCATAGCTCAGGCCAGGCCCTACTTTGCGAAGCAGAGACCCTAATTTGGAAAACTGCTAATAGGAATTTCAAGATTTAAAATGTTTCTGTTTTAGTTGAACTTTTTTCTGTCATTGTGTATTCTACCTCATCGAAAAAACATGAGCCACCTGAGTTTCTCAGATCTCAAAAGCAACCCTGGTTCCTGGCGTGTGTCTAATACAACTGAATTTTAAGAGCACGTATTAGTGCTCCGACAGCTAGCCGCTGTTCGAGCGTTGCGATTTTATGTTTTGTCAGGTCATGCGCAAGCACGTGATGGTTCGCGTTGGCGGAGGTTGGGATACACTGGAGAGATATTTCGAGAAACATGATCCATGTAAAATAACAGGTAGGGCGATTAAGAAAAATTGCAATGGAAACAATGTTGGAATATCATTTCGGCTACTTTACGAGTGTCCAGTGGTATCACTCAATAATGAAGAACGAAGAAATACTCAGGAAACACGGCCAAGCTCTGATTCTCCTTTCAAGGAATCTATTTGACACAGGAATTCGATACTGAAGAAATTTCATTTTATTTAAGATCTGATTTTTGGACTCTCCCTTAAATTCCCTTTTGAGTTATCATCTCTGTAAGATCGCGTGGTCTTTATCCCTCAATGCTTTCATCTGTTTCCCGGCCATCGCAGGGTCAGATCAATTGTCCTAAACTGTGTGGAAACTCACGGTCACAAACTGTTCAATTTCCCCGAATAATTTCTTGTTCCCCCTTTTCTTTTACTTTCAAACTATAGAAAGACAGCGGAGAAACTCCGTCAGATCTCCCCGATCGCCGCGTAGTGGAAGCGATGTGATGGGCAGATCGCCAAGCTCGATGAGTTTATCCAGTTCAGACAGCCACGATTCGTGTGGCCTGCCTGTGTCCCACGGACGCGCCCAGTCATGGAGTTCTCCCCAGAATTCTTCCTCACAGGTTTGTCTCGAAAATCATCAGTAAAGTTTTACTCGTTGTACAGTATTACAAGCGCCTGAGGTGAAGCTCAACAGACCATCGTCGTACTTTGAGCTGACTTAAAGAAAACGGAGAGGAAAGACCACCAGCGAATCCAATTTTGCAAGCTGAAGTTGGGTTGGATCTCAGGGTCGATCCATCCAATTGTAAATTTTCTTCACACATGCTTTCGGTTTGAATTCTTCCATGGTTAGATCTCAAACTTATATTCTTTTCGCAGTAGAGGCCTATATCATAGATATGGTAGCTGAGATTACATCCAAGGAATGGGGAGGAGAACGGGGGAAACTGGTGCTAAAACGAAATAGAGGCCTAGCTTCTCGCTTGTAAATCATGGATTTTGGTCTCACCTTGGCTGTACGGCGATAATTAGGGCGCTTTGGCGTTTTTTTTAAGAGCGTGCGATAGCGTTCGATTCCGATTAAGACCTATTCATGCTTGTACACTGAGTAGTTAAACAAAAATAAGGAAACTTTGGTGCCCAGTGAGTGTCTTGATACCGTGATGAATATGATAAAATCTCCTTTCTTTTGTTTAATGGTAAATCATAAACTAGTAAATGATGAGATCAAAGACCTTAAAACCGTTCATAAAAAACGAAGAAATGATGGTAGTCATCAACTCGAAGGCACTCGGAAGGGAAATACAAGCCAATTGCTTCTATCATAAATATATAGTTGAAATTAACACTATTTTAACGTAGTGGGTCTCCGTGGCGCAATCGGTTAGCGCGTTCGGCTGTTAACCGAAAGGTTGGTGGTTCAAGCCCACCCGGGGACGGCCTCTTTTTTTCCTCCTTTTTTTTTTTCCTTAAGACTTCTTTATTTTTTTTTTTCCCTTTTTTTTTTTTTTTAAATCTGTTCTCAGATGGCGATGGAATGTCAATAGTTAAACTTGTTTTTCAATCTTAATTTGATATCTTTTGCTGAAGGGAGAAAAAAAAAATTTCACGGTCGCTTATATAGCGCTTGGCGCCGGTGCATTAAAATTCCCATATTGTGATGGAAAAATTAATAATAGTATCTAAGAATGACAAAAAATCTTATTAACCGTCATTCTCTGAGCTTTGGAAAGGGTATTCCAACGACGCGGTAATGAATTTACGGCTGTGCAAGTCGTTACAGTTTTTGGATCGCGATCGTAGAAACAAAATCTGGAATGTCTTGTGCAAAAATTCCACTGAAATAACCTGTTTCTCTTAAAAATGTATTCGAGCAATTCTATATCGTACTCTTAGATGACAGAGCATTTTAAACGGAAAAAGTTTGGCTCTTCGGGCAATCAAGGGTAATAATTTATTTAAAATGCTATATATATAATAATTAACTCCGTATGGAAGCGGGTGGCCCTGTGGCCCAATGGATAAGGCATCTGACTACGAATCAGGGGATTCCAGGTTCGAGTCCTGGCAGGGTCGATTTTTCGTAATTATCTACAGCTCTATTTATTTTGTTTCTGAGCTCCATCTTGAGAAATTTTATTTTGTTTCTCTGCTTGAACGCAAAAAAATTGCATCAGAAGAGGCAAGAAATTTCCTTTTTTCTGTACGAATCGACTTCTAGCGTCCACGTGGGTTGAACTACATCATATCGGTTGAACTACAACATTCCGTGAGTTTGAAATATGATTTCAGTAGCGAAGCCATTCGCATGATTTTATGTCAATGTCCTCGTGTTAGTAGACGTGGGGGTGTGGGAAAAAAATCCTTACTTCTCAACTCTCAAATTAAAGAAATCTCGATTTGGCGGCGATGTAAATAGTACTGAAGATTGTAAACATCAAAAGGATAAGTTTTAACAAATGATAAGAACTTTATGAGCATATTTCATATCCATCCATGTACAAATAACGCAAAACGCAATGAAATAATATTTCCTACAGATCATTTTACTACGAGGTTCTAAGATGCGATCATATTCTATAGCTAAGATTGTTTCCATTTGAAAATCTAATGCTTGAAAATCGTTCAAAAGCTGTCCCTAGAAGGTGAGAATGTAACGTGACCTATTATAAAAAAAAAAAAAACAAACTCTCCGATGGCTTGCGATGAAACATCGAATAAAAAGGGAGGCGGGACAAAATCAGACAAACTCCAGCAGCTTTTATATAAAATCCTTTAAGACTTTGTTTGCGTTCAGAAATGGCGCTCCAGAATCTAGAGCCTTTGACAATCACATGAACAGATCTCAAACTAATAAGGATTTAAGTGTCCATAGCCGTGTGATCACTACTGCATAGCTTCTCTGTGAGGTTTCGAAAGAACATTCGACATTCAATAATTTAAGAACCCTCGCAAATAAGCTTTCGAACAAGAATAATAAACCCTATGCCAGCGTCATTTCCTGGCTACGAATACAACTTTCATTTGCCATATTAAGAACTGTACACAGATGCGTAAGAGGTTCTAGAGTTCCGTTTAAATCACGCAAGGTCGCAGAAGACTTCACCCTAGCTGTAGCTGGTCTATATCTGCACTCATAATTTTTAGGTCTTTATTATCTTAATAGTTTTTCCTATTTAGTAATGCTAAATTTTTTCTTTTCTCATATATTGTAATCAGTCCTCTATTGTGAACATTAAAATTAATTATTTTAAAAATTTGTAAATAATTAGATATATGGTTTAAAATTGTAAATAATTGCTATCACTATTATTAAACGAAGCGGGCTAATTTTTATCATAATTTTTGTAAATACTTTCAGTGCTTATAATGATAATAGTAATAACATTTATTTTCTTGTCATTATATTATTCGTGATTATAATATATTATTATTGCTTTTGTTTCACGAGAATCTTCCTTGAATTTTGAGCAATCATCAATTTAAGCCCCAATGGCCATTGAAAGGGAAGATTGCTCCTATTAGGTACAGATAGCATCTTAAAGGTGATTCCTCAGATATTGCAGTTAAAGAAAATACAAGTCAATGTGCTTGTTCAAGAGCAAAAAACCATCGTAACTGTTTGCCTCGTCCACTGATTGAGAAACAATACCATTTTCTCGGAATGCCGCGCATATTCGCCTGAAAACGTGATTTTCATGGAAAGTACAGGATGCGCAGTGCAATACTGAGGAGGCACCTTAAATTTGTATGATGCGTAACGGCGTTGAGTTTCTTACCAAGGCTGTGATTTATTAACAGCTCAAGAGTCCACGAGACCCCATGAGACACATTGCCAGTAGGTCTCCCTCCAGAAGCCCTTCACCTTCAAGTTCTCCAAGGCTACAGCCGCGTCAAAGACGAGGCACAATATCACGTGACACACCGCCGAGAACTATCGATACACAGGCCCGTGGGCGGCTGACAAGAAAAAGCAAAAGCATGCAAGAATTAAGCCTTAGTCCTTCTTATTACAAACCAACTTCGTCATCTATTCGAAGGCAGAGTGTAACAGCAAGTGACAACGCATTCAAGGGGGCAAGTGCTTCTGAACAATCTCGCAGAAAAAGTGTTACGACCACTTCCCGAAAATCATCCATTGCCGGGGCACAAGGTGAATCTCCTAGTACCAGAAGTCGCCTTAGCCAGAGTGGCCCCGTTGGCTCTCAAAGGCCGAGGTCTGCTGGGGTGGGAGTGTCTAGGAGCGCCTCCTTCGGCTCCACACCGCGCACCTTGATACCTGTAATGGAACCTCGCTCTAAAACTATGGTTAGCTCACAGCCAGCGAGAGAAACACAGCGACGGGGGTCCTCTGCCGTAATTGGGAAAGCTGAGAATAGGGGTGAGTTAATGTTTTGAAGTATGGGGAATGAAAACATGCTTAATAGGTTTCTCTCCTCACGCAGTTATTGGTCTCACACATTGAGATCAAAAAAGGTCGCTTAGAGAAAGGTTCCTGATTCCCAGATAACTCACATTGCTACTTTCATTACACAGAGGAAACACGAAAGAGGGAGCCTAGTGCCAAGCGCCGATCATCTTCAGTTGCAACCGATGGAAAGGCTCGGTCACCTAGCTCACCTAAGCTTCCTCAGGGGTCAGTAGAAGAAAAACAGGAGAGGACTAGGAAGCTTAGTGTGACGAAGATACCCAGCTCCCAGCACAAACCAGATCAACAGGCCACCAGGAAAATATCGACAGGAAGTACACATAGGACTTTACCATCCACACCAAGAGAAAGGAAGCCTTCAACGGGGCGCGAGAGTGGCCTTCAAACTAATGGCATTAGAGCGAATCCAAAAGGTGGGCAGGTGAAAGACAAAGGAAAACTTCACTCAACATCGCCTTCTCCTCGAAAGAAGCTTACAAATGCACCAGCCATTAAAGATTATAAAGACGGAAGGGCGACGAAAAAGATCACGGAAAGGAAACGAGAGGATAAAAAGGAAAGGGAAGTTGAAGATGCACGAGATGAGAACGATGGAATTAAGGACGACCAGCTGAGTATTACAGTATTTAAGGGTAACGCCCTAGTTGTTAATAATGGTGAACTAGATGGACAAGGTGATAATTCCAATGAAAATTTCGAGGCGATCGATGAAAGTTCTCTTTCAATCGATATCTCTTCGCAGGATGAAAGGTCTCCTGAAAAGCCTTCCATGAATGGAAGACGGAAAATTTCGGAATGTTCTTTCGAGACCGACAGTGATGTCGCTAGTGATCTTTTAAGCGACTTGACAGACGCTGATTACGATCTGAGGAGTCAGCGGTACTCAGGTCTCTCTGAAGCGTCAAGTGACCTCTCATTTGGGGCTAGTCCTACCTCGAAATTATTTCACTCTGTAGACCTGGAACGAAATACGGTAGAAACCACTATGGAGCCACAGAACACGCGCTTAGGAAGCTCGCAGCAATCACTGAGAGACTGTCTGTTGAATTTGAATCTGGAAGGCTCGGTGACTCCCACAATGAAAAGGCGCATTTTTGAGGTTGCTTCTGCAAAAAATGCCAACGAAAAGCCTCCAGACAAAGTGGAAGAACCGTTGTCAAAACCTCAGGACAAAGCCATGTTCTTTGATGTTGAGAAATCACGCAATGACCGGTCTCCAGATGAAGAAGACTCGACTAGTGGATCTCCAAGACGGTGGTCACTTGTCCAGTCCCTTATAAGTAGTATTGAAAAACGAGGTTGTGACAAAAATAATTCTCCCAGAGGTAAAAGAAGTTTTGTAGCGGCTGGCAAAACTTCTTACGTCATCAGTGCTGGCAAACACAAACTAGACGAATCAAAGGTCGACGTGCAGACGGACATGAGCAATTGCCAGGTCCCTCTTGCTAGACCCCCATCATCTGACGAGCTTATCAAGGTAATTAACAATCAAGTTGTTGATTCAGTCACCGAGTTTATGATATCCCTGAACTGCTGTAGACCTTCTATGTTATAAAGGAGGTCATGATTTTCTACAAGAAAATGGGTCAGCCTAGGACAGCTGGTTGTTGTGTACATTTTTACTCCTTTCAATATTCTGGATCTTTGATCGTACCCTTTGCTGCCGCTTTTAGCGGAAGCAAAAAGCAAGGAAAATATTTTCGTACAGTCCAGAAACATTGGGAGAAGAATAATTCATTTCCTCATGATCAGCTCTACCAATTTATTGCGCCTGCATTTGTGGTTAAACAAAGTTTTGTTTTAAACATCGGTTAAACAAAGTTTTGTTTTGAGCATCAATTAATATCTAATCTTGTTACAAAACTGTTATTATAGGGCGGTTCTACTGGAAAAGATGAAATAGAAACTGAAAATTGCATCCCCACACCTGATGGGGAAAACATTTCTCCCCGTGATCCACTAGTGTATGACGTCAACAAAAATTTCTCGAACTCAAACTCCCACGGAAGCAAGAACATCTTTACAAATCCAGGACAGATTCCGAGAGAGAAACCATTCGAGAATTTCAGTGTCAAAACGAGAAAGTCGTCATCGACATCATCGTCGCGGGAGAAGAGAGGAAAGGATAAAGAGATGGATACGTTTCCACGACCTCAGCGTCAGTTTACTCTCGAGGAAATGATCGCAGATATGCTTCCCGCTGACGGAGAGACAAAGGAGGCTGGGGACCAGCGTGTGTTGTCACCTGAGCCCCAGTTTCAAGCTTGGTTATAGCTATGTTTACTATAAAGTTATTTCCAAAAGGATCTTTTCAACAGGTGGTGGGCCAAAGCTTACTTTTAAAACTATTTGGTACAGATGCTGTTGGCTTTGCGCACACAACTGTAAGCCTGACAATACCAAGAAATTCTCGTTTTCTTTTTTCGTGAGGAATGAGGGAACGGAAGAGTTTTAGTCTCTTCTTGTCAGTTTCTAATCTTGTCTGAATTTGCATGAATTGCCCATTATTATTGTCTAGGTTTGGGAAAGGCTTGAGATCTTAATTTTAAAGGCATAAGCAGAGGTGTGGGTCCTCTATAAGCTGCTTCGTATGGTAATTTAGGAACAAGACAGTATTTTTATCATCATAGATTATTTCTTGGCCATAGCAGAGACTCACCCCCTCCCCCCACTTACCTAGCCGCGCCTTCAGAGTACCCTAGTAAAAAAAACTGGCGACTAAAGTAATTTTCGGCATTCAGAGAAAATGTACGATTCAACTCCGAACTTTTTTGAACGAATTCAACATTGCATCATGCTAATAATTTGTTTTAATAATCAAAAAACAAGTTCACAATTTAACTGGCAAAAGGCAAATAAGTTATTATTATAACTGGCCGTGGAAAATACGACATATGAAATATTTTTATTTTTTAAATTGCTGATAGCTGGAGGTAACAAATGTTTAAGGGTTTTACAAAAGTTTATAATTTTTATCTTATTTCTATTTTTAAAGAGTGTATTGCGCTTATTGCAGTCTAATCTAATTGACGTTGAAAATAGGAAGTTGCGTTTATTTATTTATTATGGGGATATATCGTTTGGTTTTAAGAATTTGACTAACGGCTGATGTCATTCACATCCTTGCATGCATTTGATGTGTATAAACTCTTAGTGGTTTTTTTTTTTCTTTGCTCCTAGAAGATTTCTCGAACCTGTTCCTGAAAATACTAATGCACAAATTAAAATGGCTTCATAGTGTCAACTTCCTTATCTAAGTTTGTATTCTACTCCACCTCTTTTAATTCCTGAGGGCTTGGGATGATCACTCAAGTGTTTTGTTGATATTAAGTAACATTTCATTGTTAAGAATCATCTTTTT